GAAGGCATCTTTTCAAGGAGGAGAGGTATCTTACTCTAACAGCTTTCGAGTTAACACACTAGGATTTTTTTTATTTTTTTTTCTATTTTTAATTTGAGTTTTCACTCTCTTAGGCTTCAGGCTGAGCGGGAGAGATTAGCAAAAGAAGGTCCAATGGCTTTTTATTCTGAATGGGTAAAAGCATGGAAGAGAGACACGTCACGAGAAGCTGTACAAAAGCATTTTGAAGAGACAGGTGAAGATGAAAACACACAACTGATTGAGATGTTCTCTCATCAAACGGATCGAGAATACCGGATAATGATGGGAGCTGATATTAGGATCAAGAGAGATCCTTTGGCAATGCGGATGAGGGAGGATCAAATAAAGCAAAGTAATAAACTTTTACAGTTACTCTAACTCGTTAAGGGTATTCAACTGTTCAATTAACTTTCTCGGTTTCGTGCAGTATGGGGTGGGGATCCTGTTTATCCGACAATTAACTACATTCAAGATCCCGATGCGGTTATGGATTTCAGAGGACCCGATTTTCATGAGCCGACACCAAATATGCTCTCTTTTCTAAAGGAGGTTAGTCTGCTTTGCTCAAAACAACTTCCCTTATCTTTCTTGGTCTGATAGTTTTCTTTGTTTCTGGTTTGATTAGAATGGCAAAGTCATCTCAAGAGAGATGCATGAAGCACTACTGGCAAAAGAAAAAACTGAGCAGCTCGAGGTAAAATGACCAATCATTTATTCTCTTTCCCGCAACTCTCATTGAGAGATTTCAGGGGATTGTTTGATAAATTGTATGAATGCAGGTGCCTGACATTGATGATGCAATGGCACAAGCTGTTGATATTGGTGAAAATGATGTGAGTATCATCAGTTACATTAGATCCTCTTCTAGTTCTTCATTACTTCTTGATGTTATCATGCTCTGAGACATCTCCGTACGTTTCCTATTGACAGGACGATGAAGACGATGCAGATGTAGAAAAAGTCGACGAGAAAGTGCCCAGGAACTGGAGTGTCTTGAAAAGTACCCCTGAGCTTCGCACCGCCAAGGTCAAAGCCACATTGTACTTGAGCCGCCTTTTGATAATTATAAATGTCATGTGTGTTGATGTTTGTTTGGTTTTCTGAACAGCCTAAACCAAAGAAGGAAGGTCGGATGTCTCTAGACGAGGCCGTTGATGATTCTGAAAACTTAACAGATTTTCTCATGGACTTTGAAGAGGAGACTGATCCTTAAACCCGGTTTTGTGTTTCTTCTCTGGTTTTGGATCTTTATACTTGAAATATGAGTTTATTTGGGGGTGATATCATTTTTGGAATGTTTGTGAGGTTTGAAAAAGGATTGTATCATATGGAAAATATCATTACTTGATTGCTTGTATGGAGTGTACTGTTAAGTAGTGCCTTCGTCTCCGATATAGTTCAGCTTGGGTTTTGGAAGATATTTTCAATCGATTCAATCTGTTAAAAGACAAGGCCTAAACAAAATTCGTAAGGAATGATTTCACAATTACTATCACTCTCTTTTTCTTTCCATCTATGTTATGTTTGAAATGAAAGACACAACTTGTCCAACATTATTATCTCGTGAAACTAATTGGACAAAACAAAATCCTACAAATGGAATGGAATGAAATTGAAACCTCCTCGTAGTGTTTACGAAGATGTTTCAGTGTATAGAGAAACATTTCTTAGTCTCACTTGTTTCTGGTGATCACTCTATGGGTCAAGTCAATAAGTGCCCGCCTCGATCTTTTGACATCTTCATTGTCTGTCTCAGGTAGAGACCCTATTGCAGCTGCTGCGAGATTAGCGTGTTCCATGGCTAATTCTCTTGCCCTCTGTATTCCCTTGCTCTTCCCAAGATACTCTAAAGCCTGATTTGTATTGGTATAGGATATAGTATTAGAGACTTAGATAACGTATTAGAACTTTTAGAAGATTTGTTTCTTTCAAACTTACAATGTCAACATTCGTTGGATCTTTTTCAACTTGATCAACAACTTCACGTAGTTGAGGAAACTCTTCCATGGCAAAGAGGATTGGGGCTGTTATGACTCCATGGCGGATATCTGATAAAGATCCCTTTCCGAGAGAGGCAGACGTCCCAGTGAAATCAAGAATGTCGTCTATCAATTGGAATGCTAAACCCTGAAAAGTTAAAACTAATCAAATATTTGTAAGAAAACTAGTTTCAATGGAGCCAAAGATTACAAAAGATAACGAACCAGATTCTTCCCATACTCAAAAGCTAACACGGCAACTTCTGCTGTTTGTCCAGTGAGAACGGCAACTGCTTTGCAGCTGTTAGAGATGAGCGATGCTGTTTTATAATATGTCTTCTGCATGTAGTAGTCCATACTGCAGTCATGAAAAAAATCGTATTTGTATGAACTATCACACTATTATATGATATCCATTTCCTAAAAGCCACTATAATCGGGTTATTGATGGGAATATCGACACTTGTTTTGACTCTCAAACATAAATTGGTAGTATACAAAGACTTGAGTAGTATTTTATTATGGCTATACTTGACCAGAGAAATGGATTTCTACCTGTAACGCTGCTCGGTTGTACTAGTTATTTCCATGGTTTCACCGGTAACAAGATGTTCCACAGCAGTTGCAAGTAAAGCTACGACCTACAAAAAAAGACACAGTTGATAAGTTTGGCTTTGAAGAAGTGATAATTAATTCTTGGGACTGATGTCATTGATTCAAGACTCTATTACGACAGGTTTAAAATAACCTATCAATAGCCATATCTTAACAAAGTCACAATTTATTGGCAACAAATGAGGGTCACGTTTCTTAGTTCTCTTTACCTCCGTGTTCTTTAGAGCAGCGAGAGCCCCACAAGCCCGAGAGAGCAAGAAGTCTCCTGCTAATACGGACATCTACAACGTGAAGCCAATGTTGATCTTCATATCTAATTACAGCACAATCGCCAAAAACCAAAATTAATCATGTCTTAGACAGTAGAAGCTACAATGAGTACCTTGTTACCCATAACAACATTTAAGGAACCAACACCGCGCCTTGTATCGGCATCATCCAAGACATCATCATGCAGGAGACTTGCAACCTACAATGACCTAAGCATTACTAAGTGGAAAAAGGAAAGGATACTGGATCTTGATTTTCAATGAATGTTATGAGTAAACCTATAGTTACTCACATGTATCATTTCAGTGATTTCAGCAATACCCCGTTGCCTTACACGTAACTCTGATGTGACTATATCTGCTGATTCACCAACTAAAACTTCTGGTACGCGTACATTCAGAGCTGTCGCCATCAACAACAAAATCTACAAACATGAACCCACCCAGAGCGGTTATGATACCTAATGATAAAATGAATCTGGACATGAAGACAAGATATGGAAACAGCAAAGAGATTATGGTCATTACAGTTGAACGAAACTGTTTTCCTTGCACACCCCTTTTGAAGAAGTACTCAGCTGCAGAGGCAAGCTTCGGAACCTGAACAGCATACAAGAACAAATAGAGATTAACTTCAGAGAACAAATCCAGCAGCAAAATTTGGCGAATTTATGCACAGAATGAGTACAAAAAAATGAAAAAAGGCTACTTACCTCGGCAACTACCATCTCTCTCAACTTATTACTAAGAAGTGATAGCTCATCGGCAACAAGCGAAAACGGGTCAAGCTCCTCCTAGGAAAGGACAATCTTACTCTTTCAGCAGTCAGAAAAAGAAAATAAGTTTCAGCAATAAAAAAAAAAAAACATGACCATCTGTATTAAGAACATAACAATAGGGTGTTGAAATTTGTTTTTTATGCATATATAAAAAATTGAAGCGATGTCCAAAATTGAAGTAGATGTGAAAGTTTAACAATAGAGTAAGGATCATAGTGAGCTTTAAGTAAGGGAGAAAAGAACGAACCTCAACTAATGAGCTGCTCTGGTGATATAGTTGATGACTAAATCCACCAAAAACCGGAGATTTCAGTGAATATTTTGTTCTGCAAACGTAACCCTACTAAAACATCACAAATAAATAACACATTGGTTAGCTCACCAATTCTATGCAACACATTAAATTTCAGTTTCAATTAGTTTTATCATCTCTCTCTCTCTCTCTCAAACACAGGTAAAACACAGCCAAATGCATCCAAATGTGACCCATGAAATACCCATGCTTCCTCAGTTCATATTATCAAAATGTGGAGAGTGAGTGAACAGTAGTTTTGGCTGATTGCTCTATAATTACCCAAACTCCAACAACTTTAAATCACAGACAAAAAAAGGGAAAACTTTTCATTCCAACAAACTCCCTAAATAATAGATAGAAATAGGAAAATTAAAAACGAAACAATTATTCAATAAACACCATATCCATGGTGGTAATGATTATGAGACGCAAGATCATGAATCTAAAAATTTGTTTACCTGTGTGTAACTGCTAAACCCTAATAGTCTATTTTTTGTAGCAATATAAATGTATAGACGCAAAGAGAAAATATTAAATTACCTTGTGTGTAGAGTCAGAACAAGAGTGGCCCTGATCGGGGAGGATTGCGAGACGATTAGAAGCAAGAGATTGGGAGCATCCATAGAAGCTACGGTTCCTCAGAAACTTTGAAGAAATCCGAGAAACAGCCCTCGTGAATAACATTCTTTACGGATCGCAACAGACGAAGAGAAACAGAGACTTCTTCTCTCGTTTGCGAATTTTTTGTGAATCTGAATTTAGAAGGAGAAGAAGAAGAAGACGAACCCAACTTGAGAACGCAGCCGACTCAGGTCACTACAATTTACGGAATTATTAAATGACGAAGACGAACCTCAGCCATGAAAATTGTTAGTAAAATAGTAAAATACTGCTTTTTTCACTTTGCCAAGGTAAAGTCAAGTTACCCTCAACGTCTTTTTTAGGGCTTCTCTTCTTATCCTGAGGCCCATTCTAAGCCCAATCTTGTTTACAGAAGATTCTTACATGAAGACAGATAGGCATAGGCTACAATACAAGTCTATTGTCAATATTCAATTTCAGATTTTAATATGAAAGCAGCAATGTTAAATACAAGTTTTGAACAACACAAACAGTAACATCAGTAACATATACAACAATACAAAGTTAACTACATATTCCATTTTCAATTGTTTCCCTACATAATGTACGTAATATTACCCATCAAATTAATTTAAACAATTTCTCTAATATGTGTGTGTGTTTCAGTTAACTTCGCGTCAATTTTGCTGCTGCAAAAAAAGAAATATCGATAACAAAAGCTGCATCAAAAGTCTGTGGTGGACGTATTTTTAATTAAAAAAATTTGGTACATAAAACAAGTTGATCAACAAATTATACTAGCAAATGATGAAATAATCATGAGGGATTCAATCCATTAAACAAATTCTAGCAATACTATTACCTAATGATGAAAAAATCATGAATTCCTCAATAAAACACAATATATCATCTAAAGTCCACATAAAAGATTTAAAACCCGAGTAATTAACTAATAACACACACATTACATATCAAGTAAAGAAGACAAGTTGGAAATAAAACAAACTTCATTAATGTCATAAATAAAGATAAACCCTTACATTTAAGAATGCATTTTGTCTTTAACTAATTAGTAAACTACACAAACTAATTTATAAATTTTTCCAAATTTAAGTTTGGACCCAAAAAGCTGTCAGCGTCAGATGAAAAAAAAAAAGGACCTACAGCTCCTAAATGTTGCCGCATGTCCTCTTCACATCCTATGCTCACTTACACTGTTCTAGAATTAATCTTTTCGGCTATAAATGATCACATCTTTAATTTTTTTTTTCTTCTAATGGTTACATTGCATGGTTAATTCTAAACTAAACTAAAATTCCAAAATTATGAATCTCCAAATGCCGAAAAAAGACACGACATACACCAAACAGGAGGCACTTAGAAGAAGACAGCAATGGGGATAGAGGTGACTACCTGAAGAAGAAAAAAAATATATATGCAGATCGGAGAAGACAACAATGGGGGAGGCGGATTTGGGATCCGGGCCTGGGAGAAAAACTAAGATGGATTAATCTTCAAACGTATTAAATGTTTAAAATAACACACACAAGTTACATTGCATGAGGAGTTGTATAATGAGACGACTTTGAATACATATTACTAAAAATTAAATATCAATAGTCTGGTACTTAAACACGGGCTAAATCCTTATTCTATTATTGTTAACAATACTAATATAAGATATGTTGAATAAAGTGATTTAATAAAGATTGGTATATGTAATCTTTATAATTATTAAATAAACACCAATAAAATAAGTAAATTTCAAGTATTAATATAAATTTAAAAGTAAATTTTTTTCATGCGGTACACCACTGATTAAAATCTAGTAGCACTATTGTTCGAACTGTGAGATTTTTATTGTATATATTAAAACAAAAGATTTTTGACCAATTTATTTAAAATTGTAATTATTTAGAATAAATTTTGTTACTAATTTTTACAAAAAATTATCTTTATCTCTTTTAAATTTTTCCTGGACCCCCAAAATATATAATATGTCTGAATGGATATTCCGAATATATATCATCAATAACTTTATAACCACGAGTATTATCTGAAAATGCCTCAGTATTATTTACCCATTCACTAATCTCAAATTTCTCATTTGTCGTAGTCATATTATAAATAATGGCATTGTAAAGTGGATGTTGAATCGGAAAATAACCGTTTCCCATCTGAGGACTTGGCATAAATGCACTATATACTTCTCCTCCCCACTCAATATTGTTTGCATAGTTTTGTTTAAATCTACTTGCTGGCCAAAACCCAAGTGTTTTGTCTCCAAAATCAAGCCACCAATTACCATTTACCTTATCCTTTGATAAACAATCACATAAGAAAAAAAAATTAATTACTATATAATTAGATTTTAAAAAATCCTTTCATATAGTCTAGGTGATTTCCAAAAGTATTTATATATTGTAATTTCTTGTGTTATGCTTGGATATTTGTTAAACACATACAATTATGTTGTTTAATATATGTTATATTATTTTATCTATTTCAAATAAAGTTTATAGAGTCAACCGCTTAAGCATAAACTAGTTGAAAATATATAATATAGGGTAAGTATGATAACCTAATAAATTAGAAAATTATGAAATCAATAACTTACAAACCTTGTATAAGCTAACTGCAGCTGAAACACTGGGATTAGAACCCCGAACACAGACAGGTTCTAGAACAGAACCAAGAGGTAAATCAGATCGGACAGATATGATCCCAGCTTGACACATGCTGTTATAACATTGGTTTTTACTTGTCTGTATCAATTTATATAACGTTATGCCTAATATATAAATGTATTAGAAAAAAAACTTTAAAAAATTATGATGGGTATACATATATAATAGCCATAAGCTTACTTTTGTATACACAAAACACCGAGTTTTGTTGTCACCATATAATTTTGGATTGACCTATAATATGTGTTCAGTTCAAAACCATATAATTATTAACATAATACTTAGCATGGTTATTATTATGATATTATATAAGGCATGATAATAACTTACAATCCAGCCAGCTTGAATAAAATCATCTCCAATCTGAAGATGCATTCGAGCAGAACTAAATTGTGGAAGTTTAACTTTAGGATCATTTAGAGAAATTTTCATGGTTGCTCCATTGTAGTTTTTGTTTTTTCCTCCTTTAGTACGGGAAACCGCAAACTGAATCACAAGCACTAATAACCAACATCTCTTTAATAAAATTAAATTATAACTAATAATATATTACTTACATGATGTTGTTGACCATTATCAAGATTATAATGAAAGTTCCATGAACCTTGAGGTTTATATTTTGTGGAGAACAAATTTAATCTCAAAAGTTCCTTTTTGGTAACTCTTCTTATGGGAACGGTACCAACAGGACACCCAATACCATTTTCCCATAAAACTCCCAAAGTGTCATTAGTTACTTTTGATTGTTGAGACAATGTCTGAAACATCTTTTTTTAAGAATTTCTTTTGTATTAGTGGTAAGAATAATCATCCAATTCACATAAAATAAATAGAATAGAAACATTATAATGGAATACCTTGTTTTTCATCAACATATTGTCAAAGGACGGTTGTTTGTAAAAATCCACACAACCATATGTATCTCCGTGTACTGTCTATCATCCATTAAAAATAACATAATTTGTAAAATTTATGAGTCATAGTGTAATAGTATTTGTCCGTACATACATAGAAAACAAAATGAAAATAATAGGTTTTCTTTATAAAGTTGAAAGATTAAATTAAACAAACCTTGACCATTTCAACATCATGTTTGTTGATGATTTTAAGTTGTTTTTCAATATCAAAATTTGATTTTGCATCCACAAAACGATTGTTTATGTACGTCATTTTGCTGAAACAAAAAATATAACCTAAGAAGGTTAATATCATTCTCGAATAACTTAATTTCATATTATTTAAGAAGAGTTTTATGATAAAAATCAAAGGTACAGAAAGATATATATATATATATATATATATATATATATAGTTACAATTTTATATATAATCATACTGCTATGCTCACAAAAAAAGAAAAAAAAAAAAACTGCTATAAATGAAATCTGTAAAACATAATGGGCATTAATGTTTACCAGATGCATTGCACGTCTTTGTCATCAGAATAAAAAAAAAATTTAATTATGTAACGAATCTATCAAAGGTACAGAGATATATATAATTACAATTTTATATATAATCATATTGCAATAAATGAAATCTGTAAAAATATAAAGGGCATTAATGCTTTTTTCACTTTGCCAAAGGTAAAAAGTTAAGTTACCCTGAACGCCTTTTTAGGGCTTCTCTCCTTCTCATGAGGCCCACTCTAAGCCCAATCTTGTTTACAGAAGATTTTTACATGAAAACAGATAGATAGGCTACATACAAGCTTTACTTTACTCATCATCAATAGAGTATTGTGAATTTTCAATTTCAGATTTTTTTTTATATTAAAGCAGCAATGTTAAATACAAGTTATGAACAACACAATCAGTAACATATACAACAATTCAAAGTATTATACGTTTGCTACTGAAGATGGCTGTGTGAGCAATTGCTCGAACTCTTCATCAGTGCTCTTAAGCATCAATGACAATGGCAACTCTAAGCCTCTCTCCATTGATTCTATGTGTCTTGGCTTTATCCTTTTCTCTAAACTGAAGGCAAAATACTGAGGAAACTCTTTTAGAGTCTCCAGCTTTCCTTTGATCCCACTCATGAAGTAATCCAGTTTTGGTTTGAAGTTGTTCTCTATGCTAAATGTGAATAGAGCTGGACATCGTAGGATCATTCCTATTGCTTCTGATCTTGAATATCCTATACTCTCCAAGAATCTGACCAACAAAATTAACACATCACAATACTGTAAAATCTTAAATTATCCAACCATAGATGTAATTTAGTCCTTTAGTAACAGCACTAAGTTTAATTTTTTGTAATCTAATCAATCACTAGTAACATTGAACAAAGCAGCTGAAAGATTTACCTAAGCTTTGGGATGAGAGTGTGTTCGACACTAGAAACCAATAAGATAGGATCTTGGTAAGCAAGAGCTTCAAGATCGTCGAAACCAAGCCTCTGCAAGTAGAAGAGAGCAGGCTTGAGCTGGTCTTCTACGCTGCTAATCAGGAGCCTCGGGCATTTCTTGATCACTCTTCTGAAAGAATTCTCAGGGACATTGAGATCATTCGATAGGAACATGAAGACAGGGTTGAGTTCTGTTCTGATGTCGGAAGTGAGGATCGTAGGACACATCCCCAAGATTCTTGGAAGGTCATTTGGGTAGATCCCTCTAGATTGGAGGAAATGGAGGACGGATTCAATGGAGTCAAGGGAGGCTGAGCGGAGGAATGGGTTGAGAGAGAGGGCTTTGCCAGAGTCAATTCCCATGAGCTCGAGACAGAGGATCTTCTCCTTCATCTGGAGGGTTACGGCCTGATCGGCTACAGAGAAGAGAGGGTGGCTGTGGAGAGTGGTTTTGATGGACGTGGGTTTGGTGGATAAGTTTGTGGATTGAGATTGTTGTGGGCATGAAGGTTTCTTTGGGGAAATGTAGAGGGACGAGCTCAGTGCTGCAGCCATGGTGGAAACAGATGAATGTGGCCTTTGGGTGGTCTGGGGAAGGAGAGGAAGAAGAAGAGTGTGAAGGTAAGGTGGATTATTGCCACGTGGCACTATATTGTGTCGTGATTGGTGAGATTAGATTGCAAAAGTGTTTAATTTTCTGTAGTTTGGATAATCCAAAAAAGACATCCAAACACGTGGCACTCCTTCTTGTACAGTGATTGGCTCATTTGAGATTACAATTTCGTCTTCAGTGTTCCAATCGTTTGATCTTCTCGGGATAGTTTGTTCATCCGACGAGTCTCTTCCTCGGAAATGAGTTTGTGCTGCTCGAACTTGTCCTTGTAGCATTTCAAGGCTGTTATACTTTACACACTCTGATGCAGCTACTGATCTGGAGCAAGTTTTAAGATCACTGGACAGTTTCCTATGCTTTTAACCAACGTCACAGCCGCCAAAAAACTTGGTCTTTAATATTCTCTTGTTGATATTACAATGCATAGCTGTGTGATTGGATTCACATACTTCAGCGCAAGGACACAAAAAGTATATGTGATCATGTCAGGGGTAACTAAATAGCGGATTCAATCGATAAATTAAAAACAATTAGCAGAATGGAACAGAGTAATTTTGTGTAATGATCCCAACGATGGAAGCGAGAGAGGAGACGAGACCACGAGATTAGCAATACTCCAGAAAACAATTTTTGATCTTTTTAAGAAAAAAAAAAAAGCAAATGATTTGGAATAACATATTTATGTTTTACATCAAATTAAATTTCTTAATTCTGTTTACCTGTTTAGGACAACAAAAATACGATCTTTAAAATAAAATAAAAACTATGTACCTGGAAAAAAAACATTTTCTATACTCTATAACTTGTACTATTTTACTTTAAATCCCATAACTCTCTTAAACTACAAACACTTTCAAAATCTCCAAATCTTGATAAACCAAGTATTTTCTACATAGTAAAAAGTGAGTTCAAATATGTAGCAATTTTCATCCATATTTATAACAGTCGGCAACCATTTCTTTTTCTAAATCTAATTTCCTTTTTTCAACCTTCGAAATTAAACTAACGATTATATCATTGATCTCATTAATTACCAACTCTAACGACAAAATGCATAAGAAGGCAAAATAGAAATGATAAACAAGATACATCATACAATGACACCAAAAATGACACAAAAAAAGTTGACTAAATGAGTAAATTTTGCCGCATTGGTACAACGACAAACTATTAAACTAGACCAAAACTTTGTCGTTTGATATCTCGATTGAACCGTTGGATGAAGTCTTCGACTCGTCTGTTCAGCTCCTCGTTCGTCATCTTGGAGAACTCCTCCGACTCTTCTCTTACATTCTCCCACTTCTCCGTCGCCTCCTCCATCTCCTCAGCCTTCTTCTCGGCCTTGTGAACAACCATCCATTTCGAGCTATCCGATTGACTTCGATCGTAACTTTTAGGTCTATGTCTGATCTCTTGATGAAGACGTTCCTTAGTTATCATTGACACGCGACCACGAGCCTTATCCGATTTGCTTCTCCCGTAAGGTTTAGGGTTCAACAGATCTCTTGCGTTGCAAGTTTCTTCTTTAGCAGCAGTTATATGAATGTTTTGATTAGGTAGTACTGGCTTGTATTTTTCGATAGCTACGTTTCTAGGTTGGACGTTCTTGCTCACCACTTGTATGGTTCTCTCAGGAACGTTCGCTTCCTTGTTAGGTAAATAATACCGATGTTCTATATCTTTCGCTCCCACGGCTTCTTCTTGTTTCTCACTACGGTTCCTGAAATCTTCCCCCAAACTACTCACCCCGTAGCCCGCGTTTTCCGGTCTAGGGTCTTCTTTTGCATCGTTTCTCATCGCGGCCGTGTATTCTCCGTAAAAATCGTGACTCTCTTTATCAGTAAATGCACCGTAATCTGCAGCGATGATGATGATAAGCGCGTTGGAGATGACGAACAAGATCTTCGTGTCGTTGAATATCCACGAAGGAGACGACACGTCGATAACGTAGAAGCACAAAATGTAGATGAAGATTGATAAGAAGATGGGGAGCAACGAATAGTACAAGCTGTTTCGTTTCTTGGGCTTGTAAGGCTCGAAATCAAGGTTTTCAACAACATACGTCATCTCTGTCATTAATTTGAGAGATTGGTCGCGATGAGTTGGGCATTGGTTTTGAGGACTTAGGCTGTAGAAGAGTGTGTTTGATCTTTGAATTGGTCACGGTCGGAGCTCTTTATATTGGGGTCATAACTCTGAATGATTGAGCTTATGAATTTGCTATTTTACCCTTTGTCAACTACTATATCTTACTAGCGGATCCTGACACGATTCATGATTTTGTCGTTTCATGTTGATTTAACTTTGAGTTTACGTGGTTATAGTAATGCCCAATCGTCTTTAGCAAGTATTATCCAATAATTAATCCCTTGTTTTTACTTTTCGTTTACCTGAAAAAATGTCTCACATTAACTTTAATATGTAGTTTAGGATAGGTACAACATTAAAATCATAGTCTATCTTGGGTGATGTAAGCAAATCGTAAAAAAAAACTTTTTTGGTCAAGGTACAAAGGCTTTGGTACTGCATAAACGTCGACGCGTCATCATGTGACAACAACACATATCCGTAAATATTACTTTGATGTATGTTTATACATTACACATTAGGTACCTTTGAGGTTTACAATATAAGAAAAATAAAATGTACGACGCTTTTGACAGCGCAACAAAGTAAAATAAAACAACAATTATATGATAGCTTTGCTTCCACGTATCTATAAAAAGTGAATTTTATTTGATTACATCACCTAATGAACCTAATTTACATATATTAAATAAACTTTGAAGATTAATGAATCAAAACGATTGATCTGAGTTTATCCGCAATAAGGTTTTATTTATTTGTAATCTTTCAAACTTCTATATTGCAGTCATTTTTTTCATCAACACGTAATTGTGGTTATCAACAAATATCACTAACACATTATGACATTATGACATTATGTGTTGTTAGATAATTAGCCATTTATATGAGTTATCTAATTTAGTTATTAATTTTTTTTTTTGGTCAAACATATGTGTGAACTAATTATCTAAGTATATCAAACCTATATAAAAAAATAGCTAAATAACAATAACTTTGCTTATTTTTTGCTTTTCTTTTCCTTATTAAAAACAAAAAAAAAATACTTGGTAATGTCATGGATATTTTTCAAATCACATAATCTCATAAATTTTATAAATACGTAAAAGTTATGAAAATATATAAAACTATCATTTGAATTTACAAAAGGAAAAAGTATAATTTCTTATAAATTTATTATAGCAAAAATGGTTTCTTAGTCAGTAAGAACTTATTATAACCTTACAGGTGATGTATGATTATCTTTATTTTGTATCTATGACATGTGTAATAACTGTAATAATTTATCATAACTCACTGATTAAATCAATTCAGATGAATTTGTTAATACTTTGATACCCTTATTTACTCTTTCCTACTAACAATTCTCTAATAAGTTGGGTGTGATAATTTGAAATCGTTGTTGGATATGATATTTTTATCTTTGAATAAGTATATGACGACAAAAATTATCATATATTGGTTAATTAAAAGTGAACTTGATTTCATAAATACTTTTCTATTAATATAATAATATACCAAAATAGTTTGTTCAAATAAATCTGTCGCTGAACCTTGAAATATTTTAGACTAAGTATATATCATGTTATTTTATACTTCTTCCCTTCTATAATATAGGATGTTTAAGTAATATTTTTTCATTTTATAAGATGTTTTACAAATTTCTATACAAAATTAATGCTTTTAAATATTTTTGACTTTTTAAATTTTGTAGTTTTTTTTATGATTGGTTAAAATTTATTTTCAATTAATTATCACATAATATTTACTATTTAAAAGCAATTTCTTAAACATTGTGCTTTTATCTAAGTAAATTTTTAAAATTATTTGATGTAATTTATATTCTCTAATCATCTAAATTTTTGAAGCTAAAGCATCATTATTGTGAGTCTCTTAATATTGGCTCTTAGCATTTGTTTAGTATTAAAATGCAAAAAATACATTAAGATATGTTAGTTTTGTCACTTTCTTAATAATAAAACATTTTTTCATTTAATTTTATTATGCATTTAAATTAAGAAGATACTACCATAGTCCCCAGTTAAATAGGTAGAAGCTATAAAGTCCTTTCTTAAACACAAGTAGCTGGAAAATCTCAAACATTGAAACTCTAAAGCTAATGAAAAGGGTCTATCTCATACAAATATAATCCATCCGAAACACGAAGAAAAAACTAGCCAAAAGAAGAGAAAGAAAAATGAAATAAATTAGTAAATATAGTGTTATCGGGAACGATGGTAAGGGCAAGTTGCTTGAATCCGAACATTTCTTTTCTGAAGAAAATTCCGAAGAGATCTCTTCATTGAGGCCTTTTGCTGTTGAATTCGGGTGGAATTGTTTGTTATCATTGGAGGATCCGAACCGTGTGAACTTCTCAACGATGATGGTGGTCTCTCTTCCACATCTCTACTCGCTAGCGATAGTATAGCATTAGCCTCAAGATTGGTAAGGTCTGAAGAAATAAGCATGTGCCCGTTGTAGAAAATGGTTAGCATCTGAGGTTCTTGCTTCTGTTGTGAAACTTCAGAGCTGCTCGATTCTTCCAACCTTCGAAACCATTAATATAAACGATATCAGTATCGTTTGTAATTTTGACTCGCAATTCATATAATACAGATTGAGTAGAGTCAGAGAGAGAGAGAGAGAGAGAGAGACTCACGAGCTATGGAAATCAGAATCATAAGAAGACGGGGATAGGCGAAGTTCCAAGTCGCATTTTGTTTGCATCTCCATCTCTTTCTTTAGTTGTGAGTAGAAAAATGCTTGTCGGAGTTTTTGATGATGATGATGATGTGAATTTGTATCAGTCTATTGGTTTATATATGTGTGGGTGTGCGTGTTGTGAATGTGTTGGTGTCGAAGAGATAAGGAAAGCGAAAGGGGGAGACAAAAAGCTGGCAACAGAACAGGGAAGTTTGGACAGCTTTAACATCTATGTTTCCTTCTCTCTCTCTCTTCCCGCACGTGTAAAATGTTTTTTTAGTATTTCTTGTAGTCATACAAAATGAGAAGAATCTGTTTTTAAACAATTCATCATCCTATATAATCTCTACCACAAACCTATATAAATAATTGATTCATGCCTTAAGATTATAACAGAGATCATTTATGGTTGTTGTTAAGAGACATTTTTTTTTTTTTTTTTTTTGCAGCTTCTTCAAGATGTCGATATAGTAAGATCTTACGGTAAAAGTTCCATTAGCAAATAGCACCGTCATGTTTCATTCTTTTTAAAATTGGAGTATTTTTATATCATCCGAAAAAAATGTCAAGTGGAAATTATCATGAAACACAACTTCACTTTGTTTGGTCATTATCCACTATCGCATTATTTAATAAAATGATTGTCATCATCACGTGATTTAGTTGATTATTTGTTTTGTCAACCAACCACATGTTTCACTTGATGAATAGTTTTTAAGTTGTTATAGCATGATTCTGCCATTAGATTTGGGTTTTGGCCACATACCGACTTAAGAAGGTTTAAATACACGTGGGAAATGCCAATATCCAATGTTTGGTTTTCAAAAGAAAACCATATTTAGTTGTTTACGATTTCAAAGTATGGAACTGAAATTACTAATGAGAGCACATGTACACACTATTAATTTACGATCTCAACAAAAAAGAAAAATAGAAAAGTCTAACAGAAAAATAACAATGAGCACATGTAATTGGTGCTATCTATGTGAAGACCCGAACGTCTTCGGATTATATATGAAGTTCTTTATCAAAGATTTCTACCAAACTTCTAATTAACAATAATAATAATATACACACACATAAAAGAAGAAGAGAAAACAATAACATATACCCCCCAAAAAAAAAATGCTATATAAATTATAATGAGAAGATATATGGATGTTCCATCCTTTTAATATCAATCAGTGCAATAGTTTATCAAATGATTTATAATTGTTCAAAATGATAAACCTATAGAGAGAAAAAAGTCAACAAATTTTGTCGTCGTTGAAATATCAGTTCATGATCTCCATCAGGACCCTCTCTAGGAAATTACAACTACTACAACAAACTTCTCCAAGTTTGGTCTCTGCTTTTGTTTTGTTCAAATTTCTTTAATTCCGAAATTTATATATATATATATTTGTTGCAATGAAGTTCATTTTACAAAGACAAAAAAAAGGTTTGTGTAGAACAATGACCATAAGCCCTACATTATTAGGCGAGCAATTTTGGACTAATTAATTATCATATTAAACAGATCATAGTTAAAGTTTTGTTGAAAGCTTTAAGAGATGCCAAGGAGTGGCTGGAAGCGCAATGCCGCGGTTCGTAAGGGAGGTGTGTTCTCAAACAGCCTGCTAAAAACATTTCTCACGGTGCTTCTAGTATATATATTTTTAACAATTTTTTTAGGGTAATATTTTGAAATATTATAACAAAAAACTTATATGATTTGAGAGTATATATTCCAAAAGTTACCATGTACTGATGGCAACTTTCAACTTATACACGGATTTTTATATGATTTGAAATACATCCAAGACATTACCAAGCATATTTCTTTTTTCTTTTTAATAAGGAAAGTTAAAGAAGAAAATAAGCAAAATTAATATTATTTATATAAAATATACATAAGAAATTCATACGAAGACCAGAATATTTTGTATACAAAATTACTCAATATATACATTATGCAAGTTTCAACAATTCAACTTCATACTAGAACATTAGTATAAAGATGTATTGTTCAAATGTGAATTGAAAAATGTACTAAAGTAAGTGCAATTTAGTTGGTTCAGGTGAACTACCAAATTACAAAATTACGTAGATTAGGTTCAGTATACCGAGATTAACCGGATTTTATGAGAATTACATTCTTCGATATCTCCGCTCTTCTTTCTTTCTCTCCACTTCAGTCACCACCATTTGTTTCATATTGCATACACAGTTAATTACACACTTGTCAGTATTGAATTCTTTTCCTCTCTTTGTTTTTCTCGGGAAAAATGTCTGCGATACTCCAAGGAGCTGGAGCTGCGACGGCTCTTTCGCCGTTTAATTCTATCGATTCCAACAAACTCGTAGCTCCTTCTCGCTCTTCTCTTTCAGGTATGCCTCCTTTTTTTTCTTTTCGATTTTGCATTTGTGGAACGATCTGATTTGAGGGATGGTAATTGCTTAATTTAAGATATGAATTTGGTAGGATCTAATGAGTTTTCTTGTATCGGGGGTTTTGATGTAGTGAGGAGTAAGAGATACATTGTGGCTGGATCTGATGGGACTAATAATAAAACCTTTGCTTCTTCTAGCCTCATTGCTCGTCGTTCTGACCCCTTGATACCAAATGCTGTTGCGGTATGCGTTTATAATCTCTTTTGTTGGGTTTTGTTTCTTCTTCTCCTTGAAGATATTTTGATGGAGGTTCTCGATTTCTGTAGACGAAGGCGGACACTGCTGCCAGTTCCACCTCATCAAAGTCTGGGTATGTTCTGCATCCTTTGTTACTTTATTTCTTATGCTAAATGCTAAGGGATGCATCCGGTTAGTACGTTTAGACTCTTGACAATAATATTGGATGTTTATTGTGGGGGAACAAGTTCTTCCTCTTGTTTGGTTGTTCAGGCTCAGGGCTGATCGATACTGCATTAGATATATGATACTGCTTAGACTGGTTAGGTTAATCATGTTTGATCATGCAAAATGCCTTACATCTGGTGATGTCAGATCACGTCAATTCTAGATTATGTTTGAATCCCTGTTGAAAATACCCATACTTTGGGGGTTTACAGAAGTGCTAGTCCTCAAATTGATAACAACAAATTTTAAAGGTGATCGCAAAGCTGTGCTTTTTCCGTTGAAAACGGTTATCATGGGTAGATGACTAAAGGAAGAACCTATCTTAAGATGGTTAGGTGGAACCTTTTACATTCATGCATTTAGCTACTGCCCTTCATGAACTCATGGTTTTTTCTTAGGAGCATTTCAAATTCCACTGTACTAGCTTACGAACTTAACAGTTTCCGTGAAAACATCTCTACATGTGACTTCAACGACCCTGCAATTGGTTAGAGCTTGTGTATCATAAGTTATTCATGTGACCTTACATCTGATATCTGTTACATGTTTACTTATATGCATATATTGTTCCAAGTAGCACATCTTCTGATCTTGTCTCTGTATTGCGTGAGATAAATCCTATTTCCATCTCAGAGGCTTATTCCTCTTGCCACAACATGATCATAACTATGAAACTTATGCAGACATGAGCTATTGCTTTTTGAGGCTCTTCAAGAAGGTCTAGAAGAAGAGATGGACAGAGATCCACATGTATGTGTTATGGGTGAAGACGTAGGCCATTATGGAGGCTCATACAAAGTAACCAAAGGCCTAGCTGACAAGTTCGGGGATCTCAGGGTCCTGGACACTCCAATTTGTGAAAACGCCTTCACCGGTATGGGGATTGGAGCTGCCATGACAGGACTAAGACCCGTCATCGAAGGTATGAACATGGGGTTTCTGCTCTTAGCCTTCAATCAAATCTCCAACAACTGTGGCATGCTTCACTACACATCTGGTGGTCAATTCACTATCCCGGTTGTAATTCGTGGGCCTGGTGGTGTTGGCCGGCAGCTCGGAGCCGAGCATTCCCAGCGGCTTGAGTCTTACTTCCAGTCAATTCCTGGGATTCAGATGGTGGCTTGCTCAACACCATACAACGCTAAAGGATTGATGAAAGCTGCGATAAGAAGCGAGAATCCTGTGATTCTGTTTGAACACGTTCTGCTCTATAACCTTAAAGAGAGTATCCCTGACGAGGATTACATCTGTAATCTGGAAGAAGCAGAAATGGTCAGACCCGGTGAACACATCACGATACTGACTTATTCGAGGATGAGGTACTGAATCACAACTAAAAGCCTTTCTTAGATAAATTATGAAACAAATCCAGAACTAATAGAATACTCGTATCAGGTACCATGTAATGCAGGCTGCAAAGACGCTGGTGAACAAAGGGTATGATCCAGAGGTTATCGACATTAGGTCGTTGAAGCCATTCGATCTCCACACAATTGGAAACTCGGTGAAGAAGACGCACCGGGTATTGATTGTGGAAGAATGTATGAGAACGGGAGGGATCGGAGCCAGCTTGACAGCTGCCATAAACGAGAACTTTCATGATTACTTGGATGCTCCGGTGATGTGTTTGTCTTCTCAAGATGTGCCAACCCCTTACGCGGGTACATTGGAGGAATGGACAGTTGTTCAGCCAGCTCAAATCGTCACTGCCGTGGAACAGCTCTGCCAGTAATTTATACATTACCGTGACTATGTTTTTATTTACGTTTTGTTAATGTTTCCTTTGTTTGTCTTGGATGGGAAAATGCTTGTGAAATGAGACTAAATTTTTCAGTTTGAACATTTAAACATTTTTACAGATAATAACTTCCATATTCACATACTTTTTGACCTTCCTGCTTTGTAAAACGATATCATTTCAACACTGTACCAACAAAAAAAAAACCTTCTAAAACATTATTTGACAATAACAAAATTGTAACAACGAATTTAGCACTGTCTCATGTTACATTAACCAAAATAAAAGTCATCAATGAAATATTATGAAGGTAACAAAACTAGCTGCTTATTCATAATTCTTGCCGACGAAACGAATATACTCAAAGATTGGGTATAACTGACATTTCACGTTTAACAAAAATAAAAAATGAAATTGACATTTCTCATTTCTCAATATCCTCCCCCATAATTGATACAGAGTTGGAGGCATCAGAGAAAAAGAGAGAGAGAGCGATCTCACTCTCAATGGCGGCGATAACAAGCGCGGTGATCGCAATTGCCGGAATCATCTTGGGATGGATAACGATAGAGTTAGCTTGTAAGCCATGCCTGGAGTCAGGCCGTGAAGCTATCGACAGATCTCTCAACCCCGATTACGATCCCGACGACCAAGACGACGTCGTCGACACATCATCCGGTCTTCGTGCTCCTCTCATCCCAAATCCTCCTCCCGATAACTCCGATCCTGATCCCTCCACCGCGATCAAGTCCGTCTGATCGATCTTGAGCTTTTGTTTGTATTTATTTTTTTCCCTCATTTTGCCATATCCTTGTGTAAACATCTCTCTCGTCTCCTAATTTCAGTTGATTTGTGCAATTCCTATTGAATGCTTTGTGTGTTTTGTTCTTTTTGCAAAGTATTCAATGAAGCAACAATTCGAGATCTATCAATACGATTAAGGTTCTTATTTGTTATATCAACCATACATAATGTAATCTGTTAGTTAGATATTTGAAGTTGTAGGTTCCAGATGGTTTGTTTGTGGTAGTAGCTCAGTAGATTTGGACCAACAAAGTTGAGTGACGATGCATTTGGACCAATAATTTTAAGATATTGACAGTTCGAAATTAAATTGTATCAAAGTGATTAAAAGAACTTAAATCACTACAAAAGTGGTTAATTACGAATGGCTTCATGGGCTTTATTAGTATCAGACTCTATATATTATGGGCCTTAACATAACTGGGTTTATAAATATATAAACTTGACTCCACTTATTTCATCAAATCTCTCATCTCCAAACCTCAAAATTCAAATTCTCTGTGTGTCTCTCACTCTCAAGCAATGGCGCTTTCTACAGCTTTCAAGGAGAGACTCGATCAAATGGAGTTCACCAGAAACCAACGACTCGATCTTCTCCAGGTACCATCAATTTCGATTCTAGCTTCTCTTCGTTCCTTTGAATCATCGAGTTTTCAATGTCGCTTGTGAGTTTTAGAACTTGTTCGAGTAGTATAATTATCAGAGAATCGCTACAATTCCAGTGTTAATCCAGATCTCAGGTTGATGATGAAATGATGCTTTAGTTTCAATTTGAAATCGAGTTTCTCAACGAATTATCAAATCAGTCATACTATGTACTCTGAAATTTGTGGAATCAATTTGTTGATCGTTTCTGGTTCTGGTTGATTCTTATGTTTGATCAGGCGGAGAAAGAGATACAAGTGAACAAATCACAGATTTTAGCAACGAAACAGGAGAGTATAAAATCCATAGAACGCAGATGTTTGATGTTAGACCAAAAGATAGCTGCACAAAACCTCAAGATCACGATTCTAAGTTCTAACATTGAAGATCTCGATTCCAAATACCATGGCTCTATACATCAATTGAGGTCTGATCCTTGCTCGTTTCTGATGGTTATGATATCAAGTAATGCGTTTAATTGATCTTTATGGTGAATTTTTTCAAATTGGATGATAGGACACTGAAGAGTGAGGTTGAAGAGCTGAAAGAGTTAGATGAAGAGAGGGAGAAGTATTACAAGGTGAAGTGCTTAGAGATGAATGAGTTTATCCAAAACGTTGAGAGGTTTAGATCAGAGAACCGTTTACAAATCGAGAACCTGAGAAACAGAGTAATGGAGGTAAATATAAACTTACTCTTTGATCTAAACCTTTCAACAGAACACTTTGAATGTGAATTTTAAACGGTTCTATGGATTTTAAACTTTGAATCCATAGAACTAAATATAAACAGAACACTTTGAATGTGAATTATATAATTTAGTGCCTGGTCTTGGATTTAAGTTAATGATTTGGACCATTGTGAGGTTTAATTATAATGTCATCATCAATATTTGTTGTTTCTCAGCTTAACTCAACGTTCAAAGAAATTCATGAGAAGAACAGGTATCTGCAGAATACAAACTAAGGTATGATTTCTAAATCACCTAAACCATCATGAAGAAAGATTTTAAAAGTGTAGTATGAACACGTTTGTGGGAAAGGCTTTGTATGAGGTATAACCATATGGTTGTATATTATGATGATTATGAATGAACCAGTAGTTACAGAACAGAAAGCAAGCTTCCTTAGTATTACTTCTACCCTCTTAGAACACACTAGTCAGTCAATTTTATTAAACCGATTAGACTATATATCGAATCAAGTAAACCAATAAAACCGAAATCGGTGTTTATCTCCTCCACCGAACCGAACCAAAAGGAAAAAACTCATAAACCCTAAATCCAGCATCGTCGGCTTCGCGCTCTGAAAAATCAAAGCGTAGAGAGAAGAAGAAAAAGAAGATGAGAGTAAAAAGGCAGAAGAAAAACAGGAGAACCGTCAGATTCTTTACTGTATGTTTCGGATTCCGTCAGCCTTTCAAAGTACTCTGCGACGGCACTTTCATCCACCATCTTGTTGCTAATGAGATCACTCCCGCCGATACTGCTATCTCCGAACTCCTCGGTGGTCCCGTCAAGCTCTTCACCACCAGGTTTCTTTCTATCTCACTCTCTCTCTCTTTTCTCACGACTTCATATCAATTTACCGGATTTCTTATCATGGAGCTGTTCCGTAGATGTGTTGTTGCGGAGTTGGAGAAACTGGGTAATGATTTTTCTGAATCTCTGGAAGCTGCTCAGATGCTGAGTACAGCAACGTAAGCTTCCCCTTTTGACTCATTACCTTACTTTGATTTATTTGTCTTTTATCGTGTGTCTATGAATGTATTCTATATATTTAGCTAGAAGACTTCTCCAACTGGATTGTCTAGTGTGAGATGAATTAGGAGATTGTGTACATTTTGGATTTGATTCATGAGGCACGCAACTGAGTTTTGTATAACTGATATGCATTTGATGACTTGTGAAGTCCCAGGCTATATAATGTATTGGATAATTGATATAGATGAGCCTTTAAAGTATAGACAGTGAGGACTTTTGAAGTTCCTGAGCTGGATTTTGTATAATGTATATGAAGTTGATTTGCTTCACTTGTGAGTGTTTAGATGTGAGCACGAGGAGGCAAAAGCAGCGGATGAGTGTTTGTCAGAAGTTTTAGGTATAAAAAATTCTGAGCATTTCTTTCTCGGAACTCAGGATGCTGAGTTTAGGAAAAAGCTTCAGCAGGTTAGTTTAATGAGCAGAGTTTTTGTATTTCGTTGCAGAGGATGGAGTTTTGTCTGTGAGGGTTTTTAGAGTTTCTAATACAATGAATCTCCATGATTTAATTCGTCTTTCAGGAGACTATTGTTCCTCTTGTGTTTGGTTTAAGGAACATTCTGCTGATCGAACAACCTTCTGATTTCCAACGTGAGACTGCCAAAGACTCTGAAAAAAGAAGGTTAAATATGACTGACACAGAAAAAAGATTGTTGGCGAAAAAGACTTCGAAGATCATAGCTTCCAATAGAGAAGAAGGAACAATTGTAAATGAAGAATGGGGGATGCCTCGAGTAATCTCTACAAGAAATGTACTTGGTGTGAAAGATAGACCTCAATTCAAGAGAAATAGAGCAAAGGTAATGTTACAATCTCTTCACATTAGTCACCTTTTATTAGTTTGTATATAACTCTTTTAGGATTCATTAGTACATTTTCTTCGATGAAGTAGCTGTGGAGAAACTAAACTAACATTGTTGTGTCAAAACTCTACAGGGTCCAAATCCACTTTCATGCATGAAGAAAAAGAAGGACAACAGTACAGAGAAACGTCGACCCAACTCTAACTCTGGTGCACAAAAGGTAGGCATAAAGATTTGGCAGTCTTATATTTACAAATACGCAGATGTTTACAATTCGATGTTTATCTTGGGTTTCCAGGAAAAGAAAGAAGCCGAGAGTGATACAAAAAAGAGAACAAGAAAACGATCGAAGAAAGGAAAATCTGGTCCGGAGAGCAACGAGTGAAAACAGAGGATATTAACATTTTATTAAGCGACTCACCAAGAATTTTTGATGCCTTTTCTTGAACGGTTATGTTTTACTACTGCATTCTAAAATTTTGGTCACCAATCGCACTATAGTTGTAGTCACATTGCTTTGAGTCTTTGACACCCTCATCTCCTTTATCCACATTTCAAGCAAGAAGCTAAAAGAGACTTCATCACTCATACATAAAGAAAGCTAAAACGCCAACTGTTGTTTTAAACACAAAACGGCCAAAAAAATATGAAGATAATCACTAAAATGAGTCCAAAACAACTAGGAACTTTTATTCTTGATTTAAGGCAAACAACAACAGTCTTTGGGTGGACGGAATCTGGATGCATCCATACAAATAATGTATATATCTTGTTGAGTTTACTTAAGAATTTGGCTACCATAATCATCATTGAACTTGTCGTAAAGATGGGCGTGCAGATGAGCTGATGGTCGAGTGTTGCTCAGAGCTCGATCAATATCTTCTGGTAGGATAGGTCCAACTTTTGGCAACTCTGCAAGACAAAGCAGAACAATGTCAAAGGTTCTGCAGTTTTTAATCATAAACTATGTCAATGATGGATTCTTTTTCAAGTGAGATTTTACCCTCTTCAGGTACAGTTTCTTCTCTGTCTTCCAAAACAGCTAGTGTACGCCTCAATGGTTGCATTGCAGCTTCCTTACAAAGTATTCGAATGTCCGAACCAGAGTAACCCTCGGATTTCTCAACCAGCACATCATGAGGCAATGGCTCATCACCTGGTTGTGACGGCAAGAGCATCTCGAACATTCCTCTTCTAGCTTCCGGATCAGGTAAAGGTACAAGGATCTAATGATTCACTAGTTAAGGCTAAAACAAAGGAAAATCGTAGAAGAAGCATTTTTGTTCAATAAGGTAAAACAGAAAAGGATACTCTTTTCTCTAGACGCCGGAGCATAGCTGCATCTAGTTCCCAGGGGAGATTTGTCGCTGCTAAAACAAACACGAGCTCATTCGTTTTCTGTAACCCATCCATCTGCAAATTTTGAACCAAACAAGATTTAGAACTGATGGAGTGCTAAGGTATTGAACTGTGGAGGCATAAGTTCTTGCGCATTTTACCTGAATGAGCAACTCGGTTTTGAGACGCCTGCTTGCTTCATGTTCACTGCGGCCTTCACCACCACGTTGGCTTATGATTGCATCTATTTCATCAAGAAATATCGTTGAAGGTGCGTGATGCCTAGCTAGATCAAACAGAACTCTTATCAACTTCTCAGAGTCACCTGAAAACATCAAAACAGATATGGAAATGCCCAAATTTTATTATTAAAAAAGATCCAACTTTTTCATGGTTAAAGAGTAACTAAAGGTGAAGAAAATTGCACCTCTCCATTTGCTAACAACAGATGAGGCTGAGATATTGAAGAATGTTGTATTGCATTCTGTAGCAACAGCCTTTGCAAGCATAGTCTACAGAAGACAAAGTAAGAATGTTACACATAGGTAGGTTTCAATCTTGACGATGCCTAAAAAAAAATATACTTTTCATGATCGAGAAGTGTTGGAGTAGGCTCAAGAAATTGGTTAATGGTTTGGTGAAGTAAGTTTTCATATAATTTTGAAATGCAAGCTCCATGAGGCTGTAAATAGAGCAAGAATTCCAAACTAATAACGCAATTTGAACCAGAATCATCTCACCTTGCCAGTACCAGGTGGACCAAAAAGAAGAATTCCTTTCCATGGAGTTAGTAGACCATTAAAGTACCTAAAATCAGAAACTGGTGAGATTCAAGTATCAAAATAATCTGCAAGCAATTGGACATTGGCATATATGGCTTAGATAGCAAGGAAGGACATACGTGGGGTATTTTATAGGCATCACCACAGCTTCTTTGAGCAACTTCTTCGCATTCTCCAATCCCTTGATGCTATCCCACTTAATATTTGGATTACCACGGATGATATCCCTAAAACACACCAATTCATCAGAAACTAAAGCACAAGAACATAACAAAAATTGTATAAGTAGCTACACCTCAATGACTTACCTACTCAAACTCTCTGCAAGAGTACGAGTTTCTGCAGATTCAAAAGGTGGAAACATAGACTTTTTCCTGCAGAATAACATTAAAGAGACAGTGCTTTCGTTAGAGGGAATGAAAGGTAATAAGAACCCAAATTATATTCTTGTTTTCTTATGCTAAACATTGCTCACATCCAACACTCTCTAAACAAATGGGAATAAGGAGAAAATCAAAAGGAATCCATATAGATCTTACGGCTTCTCGCGAATGACATTGCCATTGGCCGAGCCTGTGTTACCATCCTGCAATCATGATAAATATTAGAACTTTGATCATCAGAGGACAAAGAACACACCCCATTTACTGCTTTAAGCACTTCCGAGGTTCCAGGAAGACTAAAGAAGGCAAAAATCACCTGAGCAGTAGTGGTAACTTGGGAAGAGTTGTTGACATCAGCAGCATTGGTAGTGTTGGATGATCCATCATGTGGTTGGTCCTCCTTGTTGGAATCTTGATCAGGCAGCTTCTTCCTCCCAAACTTGGCATCATAAAACGTTTTAAATTCCTAATAAATACATAGATATTCTTGAACAAATCGATCAATTCTCCAAGCTCATTGCTTTGAATTCAGAGAAATCGAAACAGGTTCGTTGATTGTTCAATTCTAAAGGGACATTGAAAGTGACCATTTTTCGTATCAGAAACATACACACAAAAATCTAACTTTTTTAATTCGAAAAGTAAGAAGTTGAAACAGGTCTAAGCCCATTCCTCGGTTTCTCCGGTGGTCTTAAAAAAAAAAGTTGATAGTATTTGTTTTTCAAGATAAAAACGTAAGCGACATTAAAGTGTATGACTTTGATTCGAGTTTTGCAATTATAATCTGGTTGAAAATTGCAAGAACTGCATATGTAAAAAGTAAAGTAAATGAAGAAGAGAAAGCGAGAGAGAGAGAGAGAGAGAGAGAGTTGGGAGTAAGATTACCAGAAAGCTCCAGCGAGTCTGAGAAGGCTCATCATCAGTCGCCATCTTTGGAGAGAGAGAGAGAGAGACAGAGAGAGAGCGAGAGATCTCAAAACTGAAGAAGAGAACGAGAGAGAGGAGAAAGATATATGACGGATGGTGAGAGTTGAACTTCAGCCAGCTCTCTCTCTCTCTCTCTCATCAGTCCTCTCTTGCAAATATGCAAATACATCAAACAAACAGGCACGTGCTACACAGTTGGAGGACAATCATTTATTAAATAAAAAAAATATAAATAAAATCAGATCAGTAGATTCTTGTTTTCTATGACGTCACAATAAATTATTTATACAATTTTCCATTTGTTTTACACTTTTGACAATTTTTCTATGATTTTTAGATATAAATTATTTATAAAAAAGTTATATATATATATAGGAGTATAAAAGGATTACAATACATGGTTGCATGGAGCTTGCTTTTAATAATACGACCAGCTAAAAAGATTCATCGGTTACGCCCATAAACCATAGATCTCTCTGGAGAACAACACTCTGAGACGTGCTTCCTACTTGCCTCTTTCTAGCTCGTTTCCTTTTTTTATTTATATATACTATATAGTATATGGTTTGGTGCACAAATTGTTACTTGTACGGATGTGAAAACAACAACGTCAATCCAAATCATTTTACCAGTCTTCTTCTCACAGTTTCCCCTGATTACGATGTGTGTCTCTCTTCGATAATGGACTTTCTTGGCTGTATGAAAAAAATTGCTCCTCGACCCACAAGGCTAATACATAAATGTCTAATTAGGCCTATATGGGCCTCAACTCAATGCACGAAATCATATATAAGATTTGAGATCTTGTTTGTTATAACTTATGAATAAACCTAACAAACTAAAATAAGGAAAATACTAAATAATTTGGAAAAATAAAACTTATTTATTTTTCTATTATGTTTTTGGTGTTGGGACTTCTTCTACTGAAAAAATAAATGATTAAATTTTCTAAACAAAAAAGAAATAATATGAATACAGCCTCAAACATTGGAGAGGGAAAAGGGAAGTTGTTTCTCAAATAGACCAAGCCTGTAGTCGCCAAGTTTAGTCTTGTAAGCAGATAACTTGTACTCCGACCAGGTAAACTCGTTGTAAAGCCAATCATCTTGCTTTGGGACAAGGCATCTCAATGGTGCAATCTTCTCGCTCAACGGAGGACCTGCGAAGTATATCATTGATAGTCTTGACCTCTTTGTAGCTGTCACCACTCTATGTTTCACACTCTTGAATCTTCCGTTTGTCATCACCTGCTTTGTTTTCTCAAATATTAGATTACCACCCACAATCACGAAATGTTTAGAAATATGAATTTGTGCTGTAACCCCTATAGTATATGGTGGTAATTATTACTAGTATAATGTTTCGAAAGGTGATGATCATATGATAATAATTCATGACTCATGCAGATATAAACTTATTAAATTTCTATAAAATTGCAATGAATCTACCAATTTTTAAAACATATAATCTAAATATATTTATATATTAAATTAATAGTTTAATGAACTCATAAATTTTTCAGAAGAATACCTGAAGATATGTTTGTTGTGATATATAAAATGAGTTGTGAGATAAAATATAAACAAATAGTAAAAAAGAAGAAGTTGCAACAGAAAAGGGGGCACCTGAAGAGTATCTCCGACAATAACGAAGAAAGAGGAGTGGTCAGGTGTAACATCGACCCAAGTTCCATCTTTGACACAGATTTGTAAACCCTCTGTGTCGTTTGATCTGAGCAGTGATATCAACTGTGGATCCGTGTGCTCACCGAACCCAATCTCTCCTTTAGCCGGAGTCTCTTCTTTCTCCGGGTAATGGTTCATCCTCAGACACGAATCACTGTCCATCACTTGAACCAGGCTGCTGAGCTTCTCCTTTGGCTCTATCTTTAGCTCTTCCTCTACCATTTCCAGAACTTTGCTAGACATTCCCTTCATCTTCTCCATGTACTCTTTCACCATCTCTCTGTTACACAATTTACAGTTTAACCTTTTTATGTCAGTTAAGGAACAGAACAGGGGATCTCTCTGTTTTTATCTTAAAGTTGTGTTTTAGAGTTGATCACATACATATGCGCGTTCACAAAACATAAGAGCTCACGAAATAAACATTAAAGTTCTGGGTTTTGGTGTACCTGAAAACTGGAGGAGTTTGCCGGAAAACGTCGGAGGTTTTGTGAGATTCACTGCTGAGATTAGCATCAAGGAGAATATACTCAATCCATCCAAGGTCACCATTGGGCCCGATCCGTTTACTACCGTACCCAAACGGGTCGGGTGGACCAGCCTTTTCTTTGAGAGAGCGAGGCAGAGCAAAGAACTTGATGGCTTCTAGCTCCAACAGTGTCAAAAGATCTGGTCGGACACCATGGTTGATGACTTTGAAGAACCCAAACTCCTCACATGCCTTGACGATTTGGGTTTTGGCTTCTGAGTCGGTTAAGTCTATCACAGGGATTATAACCGGACTCGGTTTGCTTTTCGGGTTAACGTAGAGGTTGCTATCAAAATTGTTGGCTGGCTGTACCACAAGTACCATGGTTTACTCTTTTTGCTCTATTTCTTTTATTTATTTTAAGAAGAACTTTTCAGTGATCTTAAGAATTTTTTAACAAAAACCAAAAAAACGAAAAAAAGATTGCTGAAGATGAGAATGAAGTGATGAATTTTTAAAAGAGAAAGAATTTGGGTGAAAAGGAGTGTTTTCTTTGCACTTAATTTATAGTCGTTTGTTCTGTGTAGGGCAGTGGATTTATTTATTTATTTGTTCAGGCCAATTACTTATTGTTTTGGTATATTTATAAATATAAATATTAAATACCCAATGTAGGGTTTGTTGAAAAGGAATGTAATCTTTGACTAGTGATTCTAATTAAATGAGATAACTCTCATATGAATTGATTTTTCAATTGTTTTATAAGTATTTAGGAAAAACATTTAAAAATTACCACACTACTTTGAATATTAAAAATAAAATCTAAATGGAACTATATAAATATAGTTTCAATATTAATCTTAAATTTTATACATAATATATATATATATAATATAACATTAAATGTCCTTTTTGATAAAAGTTTATATAAAATATCAATATTTGAATATGTTAATTAAAATTATGTTTTTTCAATTGTTAGGATAATTGTATTTTTATTGTTTCTTCTCCCCATATTTGATAGGAATACTTTTGTTCAATAACTCCCATATACTATATGTACCACATATATAATGTCAAATTTCAATGGTCTATTTCCTGCAAACAAATAAAATGGTCTCCATAAATCAATATTTGTTAGTTATGAACAGTCAATCAAAGAAGCATAAAAAAATAGTTTTTGACATAATTAGGGAAACGAAAGCATCTATTTTGGAAATATTGAATTAATTACTATAAAGTGAAATTAATTTTAAACGATTGTAACTAGAGTACATGTAGAAGATCATGTTAATTTGACATGTGGAGGTGTAGGGAGGGACTAGTCTGAGTAGTCTCCACACAAATCCCCATCGAGTCATCTCTCTAATACTATTGTTTTCTCGGGAGTATGTAGTTATGTACTGCACGACTACTTTTCAATCTTCAGCTTAATTATACATCATATATACGTCACGTTTTTTGTGTTTTAAATTTTTTTAATTGGAGTTTGAGAGTATGATGTAATATATATTATTGTCCTCGTACGCCAGAGATTTTATTGTGTATCCTCTATTCGGCTATTCCTATGTTTTATAGTTTTTTAAGATTCGGTCGACGTCGACTTATTTTTATTGATGATTTGGTTTTGGTATATTGCAGTGATCCCCTGACCCCTATAGAGACACGTGACAAAAATGTGATAAGTGTAGTGTGTTAAACCACGCTGAGTCGGTCGGGAACTAAACAAATTAGAGGTCACGTGGTTGTGGATGTTGTGCACAGCTTACTTCGTCGCCTGGTCTGCTTAAGTACGTGGGAGTGCGTGTTTTCTATTATTAGGCATCCTTTGTCCTTTTTCTCTATTGCATGGAGACAGACACTATATATTATATTTCTGTCGGATTATTGGGTGAAGCATGTCATCATCATCCATGATCACTCTCTATATTTCCGTATACATTATCTCTCTGCTAGAATCTATTTTCCGGCGGTGACAAACTTATTAGATACCTCGGAAATGGATATATACGCAGTTTGCTTTTATTACAAATGGATCTAAGAACATGATTGATCTGAAAATTATTTTTGATGATAGCAGCTGAGAGATTCATGTGGTGATATTGAATGCTCACCATTTCCAAGGATGTTCATCGAATCATGCCCAAAACTTTGTGAATCATTTATAGAATGTGTACATTTTTTATTTTGTTGGATAGCACTTTAATTTGCTAATGACGTCAACAATACTGACCGGGGTTGTCATCTTACCAAACTTCGAAGATATATCTAGCTTCTCATAAGACGATATATGATGAAACAAAGAAGAGTGTTAAAAGGACTAGTTATGTTACTTTTTTCGTAATATTGTCTTGGAATATTCTCCATAAAATCAAATTCAAAGTGATGACAATACGTTTTTTTTTAAGTAATCAATGATTGATCTAAAAGTATTCATTAAAATTTCCGCATATGAATAGTAGTGAGATAATCATTCTTCGAAGCTGAAAGGGTCAAATCCTTCACCAATAGACTTTCTGAACTCTTTCCAACACTGCTTGGCTTCCGTGTCTTTGTCTAACATTGTGTATATTATTGCCTGTACTTTTTACAATGAACCACATTACTACCTTTCGACAACTAAAAACATTGCGGTAGATTTGTTTTTAATTTCCACTGATATGATTAATCCAATTAACAAGTAGTACTATATAGTTTATTTACTCTTTAACAAAATTGAATACAAAGATGTACGAGTTATGTTCACAAACCTTATAAAGAGGGATTCGAACATCAGAAATCTGAGCATTATCGTCATTTAGACAACTATACTCAGCAGCTTCTTGATACCTTTCCTACAATACCGTCCAAATAAAACTAACCATTAATCAAAGACTATAAATTTTTCAAAAAAATTGCATGCATCAAAGATTATACTTGTGGAGAAAAGATCCCACATCGGAAGATGTGAGTGGACTTAAATAATATATAAAGGGTTAGGGCCAATCCACTCATTGCCAATTGGTTTTGAGTTGGAATCCCATTACAAACCCTAATTTAACATGGTATCAGAGCCCGAACACACGCTGACCCATTAATTAATCCGGCCCGGATAGAGCCCCGATCACCCCATTAATTGATGGCCCAAAATAAGGCCCAATTCCATCGAGAGCTCTAGAAGAGCATTATCTCGAGGGGGTGTGATGAATTCTGTCGAGATTAATGGCTAAAAGAGCCATTATCTCGAGGGGGCGTGTGGAGAAAAGATCCCACATCGGAAGATGTGAGGGGACTTAAGTAATATATAAAGGGTTAGGGCCAATCCACTCATTGCCAATTGGTTTTGAGTTGGAAGCCCATTACAAACCCTAATTTAACAATAATACTGTGACAGTACGTAGAAAATAATTATAAAGAAAATAAAAAAGGTACCAGCAAAATTAGAATCTCAACAAGAGCCATCTGGACGTTGAAGTCGGCCTCAGGCTCGTTTTTGTAGCGCATGTTTGCGTCACGAAGGAGCTGCACCGCCTCCTCACATTTTCCTTCCTTCATCTTCCGTACAGCCTCCATCTATATACACCCCACAAGTTTTTATATACATATCCGTATAACATTCCTACTGGCTAGTCTTAGTCTAGACTCTAGAGGATCAAGAACTCACGTGACACTAAAATACTGGAAAAAAAAAAGATATTTATATGTTTCCAGATTGTACCTTAATGGAATCAATATCTTCCTTTGAAGGCAAAGAAGGGAGCTTTTGGAGACTGAATTGTCTTTGAGAAGGAATGGGTTTACCCGAAGCAAGCATTGAGCTCACTTCAAAGAGAGACCTCAATGCGAACTTAGCTGGCAAAGGATACATACCGGAATTAGCGGATACGGCTGAGGTCGGCTTCCCGGATATGATCATGTCGGCGGCACTTGGATGAGCAGCTGCGACGGCATTGTAGGTCGTATTCTTTATCTTTAAGCCGAAGATGCTTAAGGCGCAAGCAAGTGCTAGGGATGCTCCCGCCGCCACTTTTAGTGGCGTTACGAGCTTTTTATCATCGTGAGAATCACTTTTGCTGTTTGATTTGGCCATCGTGATTGGCGATCTGATGAACGAACGGCCGCTTTGACCGCCATTGGAGGGAATAACAAAATAAGGGGTTTGAGATCTGAGAATTGATTTATGTGAAAAGGTGAAGTTAGGGAAAGGAAGTGTGAGTTTCTGACTATGGCCTAGAAGAAATGTAGAAGTCATTCTTTTCCTAAGAGTAATAAGAGAAATAAAAATGGTTGTTGTGTTAGGTAATACTTGTTACCCTTTTGTTTTTTTTTCTTAGTTTCTCCACATGCATAGAACATCTTAGAGATTTAGGGTTTGTGAAGGAAAGCATCGATTTGTTGCTTCAGACAGAAGTAACTTGAGATTGACGAAAAGGAATCTAAGATTTTAATTTGCTTGCTTAAACAAGCCAGTACGTATTTAGGCAAGGTTTCGATAGCTTATTTACTGTTTGGTATCCTATTTTTCGAAATTACAAGATAAATGTTCATTTGTTCCCTTTGTATTCTTAGAGACGTTTGATCTAGTGGTAGTACATACATTTTGCAGATTAGTGGGTTTTCATTGTAGTATTTGATTCAGAAAATATTATTCTTTTCTCTATAGTTTGGGACATTGGAAATTCCCATGGCAATATATTCTTTGTTCGTGTATCTCTTCGATTAAAGTATAATAAACTTCTTTACCTATGATACAAGACTAACATTAGAATAACTTGAATGTTTTTCCTCTTCCACTTGCAATCCAGTTCTTCTTGTGTATAAAACCAACTTTCCATAAGAAAGTTTTAATATTTGACATTCCAAAACACAAATAATCGGACAATTAACATACAATTTAGGTAAGTATATGGTGAATCAGTCCAAGAACAAGGTCAGCATGAAGACCAAGTATGGAGCAGCAGTTGCACCTGTATTCATCGTTGCCGGTGCATACGTCGCTTGGAGCTACATAAATCGTGGCTTATGGAGAAAGAAAGACGATAAAAACGGTCGAGATATCAGAAAAAGCAATGGTAAAAGCGTTGTAGAACAAAAAAGAGATGATGATGTTAAAAGCATTGGTAAGGAGGCTTCCTCTGGAAGAGATCAGAAAGGCCTCTCAAGATCTGTTTCAGTGGGGGCTATTAGAGGAGGAACGTTGGCATTGCAGAGATTGCTTGATTTGCACTCATATCGCGCTGATACTTCTTCACTTGCGAATGCCGAGATTGAGTTTGAAGCATTGCTTTCCAAGGAACACCCGGACTTTGGGATGCTTCAGGTTTGTTCACATATATGTTTAGCAAAAAAAAAAAAGTTTGGTCACATATATATTTTTGTTCTCTTTCGGTTTGTTCATATATAAACTTTATGTCATCTCCCTCTTCTAGAGAGACATTGTGAAGATGGAAATGAGTGGGAAAGAAGCAAAAGGTGTTGAGATATTGAAGAAAGCATTGGAGAAAGCAAGAAAAGAAGAGAAAGGTCATGAGGCTTATGAGATTGAAATGTTGCTTGTGGAGATGTTGATCTACTTGGTTTGCTCTATAATTTCATTTCTCATAATACATGATTTTTTTCACCACATCTATATAATAATAATTTAGTTTTTTACTAATAGGGAAACATGGAAGAGGCAACAAAATGTAAGTGTCTAGAGGATGAAGTCATAACAGATGCAAGACGTCCTCTATACCAGGCAAGTCACATAGAGTAATCTATATAGTATTCAGTTTATCTTCCTATTTTACTTATTGTGAAAATTTCATTTATCTCTCAGACTATAATCCATTACCTTCGAAATGATCCTATGAAACAAGTCGAGGAGACATTCAACAAGTTCAGAGAGATCCAAATTAGTCTACAATGGCCTGGAAGCTCAGAAGAATATGAAACTGAACAGATCACATTCGCCGAGTTCAAGAAAGTAATGGAGTCTCTCAAGCACGAAATCGAAGATGGCAACAAAAGAAAATCGAAATTAGTCAAAGATAAAACAATGGAAGATAGACTTCAATGAAATCTTGAAATGGTTAAAGAATGATCATATGATTTGATACATAAATAATAACACATCAAAATTTAGACCTCCAAAAAAAATCCAAGATACAGTATGTGTACAGTATATATACAGTATCATGTTTAGCAAAAAGATAATCAAAACATAAGTGCAAGCTTTTCCACAATGGATCATCCATGCTGTTTTATGTACATGTTATTACGGGCTTTTAGTGGGCCGAATAGAATTAAAAATAGGCCCAAAAACCATTGTCACCAGAAGAAGTGAAAATTTTCAATCTGAATTTGCTTTTCCAACTTGAGAGAGAACCCTAAACCATTTCCGCGGCGGCGTTTCCCCCTCCAATCTCCTGAATCAATGGCGAGTCTCCGAGGAGTACTGCGCAACGTATCTTCATATTGCCAAAGATCCTTCTCTCAATCACATTTTGCGTCTTCAGGGCTGTTATGTCGATCTGTGGTTAAGCATCCGAACAATCTCGGTCAAATCCAAGGTAGACTTTTCACGACGACGCTTATGAAATCGGGACCGAAGCATAGCGGCACCGAGCAAGGTGTGAAGAGGAACAGTGCAGATCACAGACGTAGATTGCTCGCTGCTAGATTTGAACTGAGGAGAAAGCTGTACAAAGCGTTTTGCAAAGATCCGGATCTTCCCAGCGAAATGAGAGACAAGAATCGTTATAAGCTCTCGAAGTTGCCGAGGAATAGTGCGTTTGTGAGAATCAGAAACCGTTGTGTGTTCACTGGTCGAGGTCGTTCTGTGACAGAGCTGTTTCGGGTTTCTCGAATCGTTTTCCGTGGATTAGCAAATAAAGGTGCTTTGATGGGAATTAAAAAATCGTCTTGGTAGTCTATTTGTGACCGATCCAAGTAAGTGTATTTGATTCTCCTTACTGTTATGTTGTATGTTACTTAGATGATGATGATAAATTGATGTTTTGTTTCAGGGAAGAAGATGATTGTGGAGAAATGGGAGCAAGGAATTGAAGAAACTTTTTTGTGGTAAATACAATTACCCAAGTAGCTGTTTGTATGATGGTGTAAACATTTTTAACACCATCACAAAACTTAGCTTGCTCTTTGTTTACGATCTCTTTCTCAGTTATTCTAGCATTTCTCGTTGAATAAGTTAAACACCATCTACAAAGCATGCTCTTTCTTTATGATCTCTATGATCTCACTAAGGCTTGTGTAGTTATCGTAGCAATTTTTGTGGTTGAATCATGATACATAAAGTTTAGCAACCTTTCACTAAGGAGTATGATGCATTGCTAAAGTAAAAGGTTGAAGTTTTAGAACACTTTGCTTTGGAATATAATGTTGAGAAAGTAGGTGGTAACTCTGAGCCAGTTTCCTTATCGTGTAGATTAGGGAAGATTACTGAAGAGTAGAGGTAAACTCACGAAGAACTTATCAATTATTATATGCTTATGTGCCCTTTGGGATGTTCAAACAAGATATGGCTAGAAGAAAACGATTTTTAGGTAAAAATGTATAACATCAAAGCTGCTCAATTCTTCGGAAAACAGCAGCAGGGGAGTTGTGATAGATATCTTAAGCAGACAACATTAAGCAATGATCAACCTTCTTAGGCTTTCCGCACCTTTACATATGCATCCTATGTCATGGTATTAAGTCTCTGCCTGAGCCCAATTTTGGAAAGAAACAATTTGCCTCTTGCAACATTAGTGATAATGTTTGTGTAACTTGGGTACCTCAACAGTTCAACTTGATGGAAGTCCTGATTGCTTCTTGAATCACTCACCATTACGTTTGAGTGTCTCTGAATTCCAAAATAAGATGTCCTTTTCCCCTTATCTCTTCGCTTGGACTGATCTAAAGGGTAAAGACAAGTGATTAATTTTAACAAAAATGAAAAGAGAAAAGGAAAGTGGTCATTGGTCCATAATAGATAAATGAGTAAGGGAGAACATAAGTAAGCCACTCTCGTGTAGACCAATGACTACGACCAGTACCACCACGCGGTTTGTAAATATAAGAATAATGGAACAAAAAGAACAGCTGGAAGGAGTTTGGATAAAAGGGACACTAGACTCTTCTTCCCTGCTTTGGCTCCGTTGCACAAAAAGAACAAGCAGAAACACTTTCTAGTTTCTACTGTTCATTGAAAGACAGTGAGAGATGGTGCTTTACAACAACAATAGTTTCAAATCGGTTTTCATCTCCATAGTAGTGCTTCTGCTTGGTCTCTCCATTGTCACCGCGGGAGACTCCGCCGGCAAAACTTCACCAGTCGAAGACGGTAAGCTATACTATATCACAATCTCGTCACCTTTCTTGATTTGTTTTTTGTTTCGTGGTTAATAGTGTTGGTGGTTTTCCTCGTAGTGTTTGTTAATTGGTTGGCGAAAGCATGATTCTGTTTCTTCTGTGATGAATTTGATTACGGAAACGTAAACCCAGCCTAACTTCTCTGTTCCAAGAACAGAGGATTATTCAACATCGCCTATAGTAGTGTTTAGTTCTTCTTTCTAAAACAGATCTGGATAACAACAAAAACTGGATAAGGAATGAAAAGTTTATAATCTTCACATGGATTTGGTATTTTTTTAGGGTAATCTCATCACTTCTTCTTGGTCTGAGTTGAGCAACGAGTAAAAAAAATCCTTTTTCCAATTTTTAATCAGTCACAATCAGAAAATAAACAAAAAGTAAGTTTGTGGGTCTTACCTTATTCATTAGTTTATAATAGCTGTAGGCCATTCCTGTGTTAAAATAATAGTAAAAACCCTTTTCTCAGCTCCTTTGATAATCTCTCAGTTTCGTTTGATTCAATTCAAGTCTCCAACACCTCAAAACCAGGTTTTGTTTACCCGTTCCCTAAGGAAAAGGGTACTTTGTAACTGTTAGTCAAATGAATGTTGAGACCCTAGCAAGTTAATGCCGTGGGGCCTAATTTATGAAATTGTTCAATTCTCGTGTCTTCTCTTCTATGTTCTGTATATTATTATTTTTTTCTAACCTTTTAACTAATAGGTAAATGTAAACTCACGAGAAATACGAGAGAAAGAATATAATTTGGGATTATTTTTCTAGATTTCTTGAGAGAATGTATGGCCCAAAACTGGAAATAAAATATGAAATTGTTGTTATACACTTATACACGTTTCCATCATATTTTATTTTCTGACACAATTTTATCAATTTCGGTAATTAAACCCTTTTTTCTTTATAAATTATAATTAAGTGATCTCCTGTTTAACCGGATACGTTTTTTTCCCCAGGCTTGGTGGTTAACGGCAACTTCGAGACTCCGCCATTAAACGGTTTCCCCGATGATGACGCGATCATCCACGACGCCTCAGAGATCCCGAGCTGGCGATCTGACGGCATGGTGGAGTTAATAAAGTCCGGTCAAAAACAAGGCGGGATGATCTTGATCGTGCCTGAAGGTCGTCACGCCGTTAGATTAGGAAACGAAGCAGAGATCAGCCAAGAACTGGCGGTGGAGAAAGGTTCGGTCTACTCCGTCACGTTCAGCGCCGCCCGCACGTGTGCACAGCTAGAGTCGCTGAACGTTTCGGTTGCTTCTTCCGATGAGCCAATCGCGTCGCGGACCATCGATTTACAAACGCTTTACAGCGTTCAAGGGTGGGATCCATATGCATGGGCGTTTGAAGCGGTTGTGGATCGCGTCAGGTTGGTTTTTAGGAATCCTGACATGGAGGATGATCCTACTTGTGGCCCTATCATCGACGACATTGCCGTTAAGAAGCTCTTCACTCCTGATAAACCAAAACGTAACGTTTCCTCCTTTATTACTATTTGTTTTAATTACACACCAATAACTAATGTAGATGTTGTGCTGTTACAGGCAATGCAGTGATTAATGGAGATTTTGAAGAAGGTCCATGGATGTTTAGGAACACGACCTTAGGTGTTCTGCTTCCGACATGTCTTGACGAAGAAATATCGTCACTTCCGGGATGGACAGTAGAATCGAACCGAGCAGTCAGGTTTATTGACTCGGACCACTTCTCTGTTCCTGAGGGGAGGCGAGCTATAGAGCTTCTGTCGGGCAAAGAAGGCATAATTTCTCAAATGGTTGAGACAAAGGCTAACACTCCGTATAAGCTATCTTTCTCATTGGGTCATGCAGGAGACAAGTGCAAGGAACCTTTGGCTGTAATGGCTTTTGCGGGAGATCAAGCACAGAACTTTCATTATATGGCGCAAGCGAACTCTACTTTCGAGATATCGGAAGTGAATTTCACGGCGAAAGCTGACCGTACGAGGATCGCTTTCTACAGCGTTTATTACAATACGAGGACGGACGATATGAGTTCCTTGTGTGGACCTGTGATTGATGACGTTAAGGTCTGGTTCTCCGGTTCTAGTAGGGTTGGATTTGGTTTTCCGGCTTTTATTCTTCTCACATTGGTGTTCATGTAGATTGTTCCGGATTAGAAAATGGTATTGATAAACCGGGACTCCAATGTTGTATCGGATTCAAGCTACTAGTTATATGAGAAAGTACCTTTTTATGCAATTCACGGTCGTTGAAATCACTAAATAGTAGCTTTTTAGTGCAAATTGAGGTAAGCTAGTTCACTGAAATCATTTCACATGCTTTTATGCTAATGAATTATAATGGATTGTTTATTGGAACCTAGGCAGATTCGTGCAACTCTCATTGAAGAGTTTGAACTAGCTTTCCAGTTGACACGGCTATCTAGATTAGTTTTCATCATTGTGGATTTTCAAGGTAATCTAAATTGTTAAAACACTAAACCATAAGCGTGTCCGTGATGCAATGTATTGGCACGTAGGCCATCTAGCTATACGTTTCCTCTTATGAATCTGGTATAGGAAGCTAGATTGTGCTTCATCTTTGGGTAATCTCTTAGTAGAATCTGTTTCAGAGAATTTTTTAAATTTTTCATTCTCTTTAAGCTGGTCAGTGGTAAAATGTTTTTTTTTTCCCCTCAAACTCATATTTTCGTGTGAATTACTTTCAAAGATCAAGAATCACTTACATTGTTACGGTGCATGTGCATTTTGTTTTGATTTTTGATATATGCATCAAAATAACAATTCATAGTCCGTTTTTTTCCTTCTTTTCCATATTATATTCACTGATACTATAACCAGTAGACTATAATTAAATGTATTATGTGAAAGAGAAAAAAGAAGAAGATTAACGTGTTGTTAGTAATTAGTAATTACGGAAGGGGAAGTCTGCAAAATTGGAAGAACAAAACTCGAATGCAAGCATATCAGACTTCGTATAAAATGACACCGTTGGCAAATTTGGCTAGACAAGATTCACTTGTCCGCTAGTTTTGCATTTTATGCTGTCCTTTTGAGTTACTCTAACTTATTGGTCTTTTCATATTTTCACTTGAGATCTTAAGGCATTTATACAAACAAAAGTACAAAACATCTATTCAGGTAACTAATGCAAAATTATATCACATTACTGCATGTACACCCTAGAAGATGTGTGTCTCCGTTTTATGACCATCTTCGTTTCAAAACTTTGGGAAAGAAATAAGTCGTCTTCGAGACTGAAAAAAAGAAGAAAGAATTATATTCCACGGCGCCAAATAACGTTCATTGACTTCTATAAATATTATAATACAAAGAAGAATCAGGGGAAGAATTTTATCCAAATGTGTTTATTAATTATCATTATACTGATTTTTCTTCACCTTTCTAAAATGATTCTTCAAAGTTCAAAAGTTCAAAATTGGATGTTGGAAAGATGCTAAGCGGCTGACAATAGAAAAATCAACATTCAAAATAAGTCTGAATCACAAGAGAAGTTGTAACATGATTCCTTCTTTTATAAATATGGATTTGATTCTTTTTTCTTCTTTTTGTCAAAAGTATTGTCAAATAGATGTTTTACCCTAAAGCCAAACTAATCAGAAGATATATGGAGAGGTCATATAGTTATTATTTTAGTACTAGAAAGGATATGATTTTGTAATGAAAACACTATCTGAAACTTCTTGATCGAAAAAAAAACATTATCAAGAGACAAGAAACTAGCTATCAAGCAGTCACGTACACACACAATAAAACTGATTTACATTTTTTAAAAATGGTCAACGGCGTTGATTCTAGAGAGATTAATATATATATATATCTATATATATATATATATATATACGGCCACGAAGAAGAACCTTCTAAGCCAAAAACACGAGAGGTTTAATATGGTTTTTGTTCTATGCTTTATATATCTAAACAGAAGTTGGCTTGATATGATTAAAGAAAATTTAGAATAAGATGTATCATCTAACTCTTGTCCTCGACATACTGTATGCACTAAAACAATATATCGAACTAACCTTCTTAGATCAAATAAGGAAATTGGTTAGTGATAAGATTCGGATTCCAAAACCATGACATGAGAATTTTGTAGATTTTCTAATATAGTATTAATATTATAGTGGTATCATTAGTCTGATAGAAATTCTAACAAGTCTACAAACGAGAGATTACTCTTTCATTTATATATATGATTTATATGACTTTTCTAATCGCATTTTTATATTTGCTAATAATTGCTATGCAACTACATTAATAAATGAGTCGTTCAAGTTCTCAATGTTTAGATCTGTCGCCATAAAAATTTTGGGCCAATCATAATTCGAAAACATACTAGTTTAATGTTTTTATACGGCATTAACTCATGCTTATCTATTTTATTTTGAACACGTATTTGTGTTTATCTCACAAATTAGACATTGAAAATACTAATTAACAATTTTATAGTCAACAACTTAATGATATAACATATATACATACATACAACTCTCTCTAAACGTAAAACCATTTCAATTTTCTAAATTTATAATTTTCATAATATGCAACTATACCGATTACCGAGTAAGGGTGAAGTCGTGAAGATCACAACAACAACATTAATTAAAAATCAAAATCTTAAGATCCATGTCATAATTAGAATCTCGCTTATTGGTTGTGGAAGTCCATGCATTAGAATAGCTAGAGCGATTTTCAATCGCACACATTTGAGAGACGACATACATATTTGGATTTGGAATTAAAAAGAAAAAAAAAAAGTCACTTGAATTGCGCGATACATACGCAACTTGAGACGTCATTACAATTCAAAAGCTTTAAAATAGTATAGTTTTGTGTTAGGACACGCGCACTATTTATTTAAACATAGTTGGACAATGATTGAAGCTTACCGAGATAAATATATATAAGCAGATTATCAAAACATGAACAAAAAAAAAAAAAACTAAACGCAAAGCGTTATTATTTTACTATTTTCAACAATTATTTGTTAATGATATTTTGATGATTTAGAGCAAGTCAGGTTGATAGGGTCTGACTGTGTGAGCCTTTGAAGGTCAAAGAGCTGTTAACAAAACAAACAATTCATTTGGGAGTTAAAAAATAAAATCCAAAGTCATCTATTGAGTATTGAGATAACCTCAAAAACCAAATTTATCCAAAGAACAGTATCTATCAGACAGTGATGTCTTATTAGAATCGTGATCAAGTCAACATACTACTCACAAATTTTCAAAACTATCATATTATAAATCAAATATTCTTATATTTCATTGTGTTGTTACTTGTTACATATATACACGAGTCCTCTTTTAGATTAGTATCTTACAGGAAAAATAATACTTAATGTGCTTTGTATTAATTACAACTAACCAATTATGATTAGAATTTTCTTTATAAAACTGATCTCAACCACAGCTTATGGTCAATCCATTATATTCGTCTCTTTCTCTCTACCTCCAGATAGACAAGACATATATGATTAAGAAAGTATATAAAAGAAACAGAGCAGAGAAAGAAATCTGAATTCTTCTTGTCCCAATACCACTGCAATTTGCAAACACAGCTTCAATCCAATTCCCCAAAACCTATTAGAAAATTCTGAAAATCCCACCAAACAAAGGAACATCAAGAAAGACAAAAGGCAGTCCAAGACAACAAAGCAAAACCCTCTTCTTCTTCTTGTTCTTCAATCATTTCCATTTTATACACAAAAAACCTCAAGAGAAGCTTTACTAATAAAAGAAGTAGAGAAACAAGAAAGATATGGTTTTCTCTGTTTCTCTATTTGCCTCTCTCGCACCTTACGTCGTCTCAGCATTACTCCTCTTCCTTCTCATAGAGCAACTCTCTTACCTTGTCAAGAAACGCAACCTCCCTGGTCCACTCTTTGTCCCTCCGATCATCGGAAACGCTGTTGCACTCGTCCGTGACCCTACTTCCTTCTGGGACAAGCAATCCGCCACCGCGACCATCTCAGGCATCTCCGCCAACTACCTCATCGGGAAATTCATAGTCTACATCAGAGACACTGAGCTCTCTCATCAAATCTTCTCAAACGTTCGTCCAGATGCCTTCCACCTCATCGGACATCCCTTTGGAAAGAAGCTCTTCGGTGAACACAACCTCATTTACATGTTCGGGGAGGATCACAAATCCGTCCGCCGTCAGATCGCTCCTAACTTCAACCCCAAGGCACTCTCGACCTACTCTGCCTCCCAGCAGTTAGTTATCCTCCGTCATCTACAGAGATGGGAGGAGAGTACCGCCGGAGGATCTAATCCGGTGTCGCTGCGACAGCTTGTCCGTGAATTAAACCTCGAGACTTCACAGACGGTTTTCGTTGGAACGTACCTTGACAAGGAAGCCAAAAACAGGTTCCGTACTGATTACAATCTGTTCAATCTCGGAGCCATGGCTCTCCCCATCGACCTCCCTGGCTTCGCGTTCGGTGAGGCTCGCCGGGCAGTAACTAGGCTAGCGGAGACGCTCGCCATTTGCGCCGGAAAATCAAAAGTGCGGATGGCTGCAGGAGACAAACCAACATGCCTAATCGATTTCTGGATGCAGGCGATCGTCGAGGAGAGTCCACCGCCGCCGCACTCCGGAGACGAAGATATCGGCGGCTTGCTCTTCGATTTTCTATTTGCCGCGCAAGACGCATCCACATCATCACTACTATGGGCAGTGACGCTTCTTGAGTCGGAGCCGGAAGTGCTGAACAGAGTAAGAGAGGAAGTAGCCAAGATCTGGTCGCCTGAGTCCAACGCATTGATCACCGTCGATCAGCTGGCGGAGATGAAGTACACGCGTTCCGTGGCGCGTGAGGTGGTGAGATACAGGCCTCCGGCAACTCTGGTCCCTCACGTCGCAGCTACAGACTTCCCTCTCACGGAATCGTACACTATCCCTAAAGGAGCACTTGTCTTGCCTTCTGTTTTCGACTCTTCGTTTCAAGGGTTTACTGAACCGGACCGGTTCGATCCTGACCGGTTTAGCGAGACAAGGCAAGAGGACCAGGTGTTCAAGCGCAACTTCCTAGCATTTGGATGGGGGCCTCACCAATGCGTGGGGCAGCGTTACGCGTTGAACCACTTGGTGCTCTTCATCGCAATGTTCTCGTCTTTGTTTGATTTCAAGAGGCTTCGATCAGACGGCTGCGATGACATCGTGTACTGCCCTACGATATCACCCAAGGATGGCTGCACCGTGTTCTTGTCTAGACGCGTCGCAAAGTATCCCAACCTCTCTCTCTCCCTTTAAACTGATCCAGTTGGATTTTTCTTAAAATTTATTGGCGATCAAAGTCAAAAGTGTGATTTTACTTGAAGTTTAAGTTTATTTGCTTTTCGTGATGTGTCTCTCGAAGTGAGAAGACATGTCATTTGCTTTACTTTTACCATGCACGCATGTTTTCACCATATCTCTGTTTGTGTTGTTGTCTTTTACTTCTTTAATTTCTTTTTCAGTTTCTTTTGTCTCAGTGAATCAGTGATGTTATAACGTGCTTCATACTATGTTTAGTTGTTTAGTTTTTGCCGTCGTTTATTTAAATGAAAAAAGCATACCAGTCGTTAACCTTATCTCACAGTTCTTTTGAATTCGTCTAACCTTGTTTTGGACCACTCTAATTATCAATAAAATCACTTCTACCACACAATATCTCACATTAACATCGATCCACCCGTAAACTTTAACTCTCATGATTAAAAAAACGATACCAAATGCGACGTTTGCCTCTACGAGCATCGCATGCATGTCGTTGGAGACAAATCGTCGAGCTATAATAACTACATTTAGACCATCTTAATGGGAGGATCTTAATCTTTAATGGGCGGATCTTAAGAAATTCTTAAATTAATTTTTAATTTTAATTAAATGCAAAATAAAGTTAATTGATAAGGTATGTATCTTATAAGATACAAAACATTGTGTTAAGATACATTTTCAATTATAATACTACATTAATTATAAGATTAATATTTAAAATGCTTGCAATAAAGATCTTCTAAGATAGTTTGGGTGTTTTATACGACTTTGTTTACACTGATTGCATATTGACATATGATTTCAATGGCACTCCACTTATCCGATATCTTCAAAGAAAGTTTGCTCGAAGCAGGATGAAGACGACCAAAACATATTTGACCCAAAATTACAACCTATAATAAGAACATAAGTTACCGATCAATCATGAAACTGAGGTTGTTGAAAATGTTGATTACGGTGATGCATACTAGCTAGATTTTAAGGGCGGTTATTGACAAATTCTTAGAGGCGGTTATTGAAAAGTTCATGAAATGAGATTGTAACCGAAAGAAAAAAATACACCCTGATAAAAGGCTGATTTGAACTAAAATTGGCTCTTTAATTTAGAGCTTGCATATTCATAGTTTCATCAAGTTTCTTAACAAATACTCCCTCTGTTTCACCAAGAATATCATTCTAGAGTTTTAATTTTGTTTCACAAAGAATGTCATTTTACATTTTCAATGCATTTTTAATAATACATTTCTTAATTTTACCCTTAATTTAAAAACTAGTTAAACTATTAACACATATTTAATAGAAGCATATATGTATAATGTTTTTTAATGTGTGAAATGTGTCAAAGTAACACTTTTTGTGAAACAAATGGAGTATATGAAAGATTTTGAAAATAGTCTCTCAATTTTCAAGATAACTAATTAATATAATAACAATAAAAATTACTTCTACATAATGTAATTATAGTATTCATTTTGATTGTTTGTTGAGAAATTTAATGAGAGACTATAGATGCACATGCTCATATATATATGTGTGTGTGTGAAAGAAGATACAGTTTCATTATATAGCTACATAGAAAGAAAGAAATATTGTGATTTACAACTCCAAAGGTCACTTTCTAACTTACAAAAATATACGATCGGGTAGTACTGTATATATATATAATATTAAAATGGTAATGATAAGACATAAAAAGAGAAATTTTTCAAGATATCATTTTCATTGTTTTCTAAAAATATCACTATTTGTTTTTTTTTTTAATATCATATTTTTTTTCTTCTCAGAAAACGATAAAACAGAAAATTGAAATAAATTTTCAGTGTTTTATATTTTTTTGCGGGGGTTTGAATTAACAATTTTTATGTAGGATATTTTTTTACATATAATAATGTAGTGTATATTTTAGGCAAATTAAATATATTGATATTTAGAACGTAGTATATTTATTATCTTAGAACAAATAATATCTCCCAACGCTCTCTACTGACAAAAGAATTAATTAGACTTACATCTGGCCGACAAAAATAGACATGTATAGATTAAATGTGTAACACGTGACTTAATGATCGGAAATAAATCCATTTAGAACATAATAATAAACCTCGAAATACATTGGTTAGCATAGACAGACGGTAACTAAGTTTATGTCAGCTGATATGCATAATTAGAATTGAATCCCCATTTATAGTATTAAATTTCTAAATAAATTCTTGGTCTACCTTTGAGAAGACAAAAATTAAACAATTCTTGGTCTATTTATAATACTAGACCAATAATACTAGGACTTCCACTATTTATAATAAAGCAGTTGAAAATATAAGTATACTTGGTTATTCCTTATTGGTTTGCAGAGAACAAATATGGACCTACTCACTTTGTAGTAATGGAAAACACCCGAGTGATGCAATGTTTTCGATTTTTAAAAAGATTAATATTCTTTTTAAAAATTCATAGTGAATTAGTGATCGTATTTAAAGTAGTTTGTTTAGACTGAACAATGCAGAAAAAAAATACTTAATTTATAAGTGCTAGACTGCTAGTAACGTAGTTTCAATGTTTTGCACATTTATGCCAAACGTAATATTCAAGCTCTGCCATTTTATAAAATACGACCTCTTCTATCACATTACTTTGACTAGTTTGTTTTAATATACGCAAATATATCTTCCAAGCATTACTTAACTACTCACGCATTTTTTGTTTTTTCTGATGGTTGTAAATTGCATTTCTTAGTGAGGAGTTATATCAGTAATAATGTGAAGTTATATAATATTATAACATTCAGTTAAATTATAACGGACGGAAACCATAATTTGAATTTGACCCAAGGCATGCATGCATGCATTTTGACACGAGAGCATACTACAGCATGATAAGTGTAAATGGGTTGGTCGTAGATTTTACAAATGTTTTTTTGTCTCAGTTTCTCAATGATTTTGTTTTGCTATTCATAACTACAGCTCCTTCACAGTTATTTAGACATAATGCTGAAATATATCGAGCTAGTATCTAGTGACTGTGTGATATGATTCCATATTACTATTTTACAAATTGTTGGGGTGACACCAATCATATGTATTTTCACGTATCGACAAATTACCAACTGCTGTATAACAAATCATTGCATAGATAGCCTCAATACCTTATATTTTTTTTTTACTACATATACAAAAAGACTCGCAAACAGAGCATAAGTCACTAAGAGAAGCTCTGCTGAGAAGAAGAAGAAGTAGAAAACAAACAAAGAGATGGTTTTCTCAGTTTCCTTATTTGCCTCTCTTGCACCATACGTAGTCTCTGCTTTGCTTCTCTTCCTTCTAATCGAGCAACTCTCTTACCTTGGCAAGAAACGTCACCTCCCTGGCCCTTTCTTTGTCCCTCCGGTCATCGGAAACGCCGTTTCACTCGTCCTTGACCCGACTTCCTACTGGGACAAGCTATCCGCCACGGCGGGAACTTCCCCTGGCCTCTCTGCCAACTACCTCATAGGAAAATTCATCATCTACATCAGAGACACTGAGCTTTCCCATCAAATCTTCTCCAACGTTCGTGTCGATGGATTTCACCCTCTCGGACATCCTTTTGGCAAACAGCTCTTTGGTGACCACAGCCTCATCTACTTGTTCGGTGAGGATCACAAATCCGTTCGCCGTCACCTTGCTCCTAACTTCACCCCCAAGGCACTCTCAACCTACTCTGATCTCCAACAATTAGTTATGCTCCGTCATCTTAAGCAGTGGGAGGAAAGTTTCTCCGGCGGAACTAAGCCGGTGGCTATGCGAGATCTTGTCCGTGAACTCAATCTTGAGACTTCTCAAACGGTTTTCGTCGGACCCTACCTTGACAAAGAAGCTAGGAGTGCGTTCCGTACTGATTACAACCTGTTCAATGTCGGATCAATGGCGCTACCGATCAACCTCCCTGGCTTCGCGTTCAGCAAAGCTCGCCGGGCGGTGATGAATCTAGAGGAGACACTCACCTCATGCGCCGGAAAATCAAAAACGAGGATGGCGAAAGGGGAGGAGCCGACATGTTTAATCGATTTTTGGATGCATGCAATCGTGGCAGAGATAGAGTCCGGTAATCCTCCGCCGGTTCACTCGGAAGACGAGGCCATCGGCGGTCTTCTCTTCGATTTTCTCTTTGCCGCGCAAGACGCTTCCACGTCATCACTCCTTTGGGCGGTGGCGTTTCTTGAATCAAACCCGGAAGTGCTAAGCAAAGTGAGGGAGGAAGTGGTCAAGATCTGGACGCCTGAGTCCGGGAAGCTAATCACGGCAGATCAGCTCGCCGAGATGAAGTACACGCGAGCTGTGGCGCGTGAGGTCGTGAGGTACCGGCCACCGGCAACTATGGTGCCACACATTGCTACCAATGATTTCCCACTCACGGAATCATACACTATCCCAAAAGGTACGATAGTGTTTCCCTCGGTCTTTGACTCCTCGTTCCAAGGGTTTACTGAACCGAACCGGTTCGATCCTGACCGGTTTAGCGAGACAAGGCAAGAGGACCAGGTGTTCAAACGCAACTACCTAGCTTTTGGATGGGGTGCGCACCAGTGCGTGGGGCAGCGTTACGCGCTCAACCACTTGGTGCTCTTCAACGCAATGTTCTCATCTTCGTTTGATTTCAAGAGGCTTCGATCGGACGGCTGCGATGATATCATATACTGCCCCACGATATCGCCAAAGGACGGGTGCACCGTGTTCTTGTCCAAACGTATCCCAACCTCTCCTTGAATTGATTTTAAATTTTAAAGAATAAATTTATTATTGGTGATAAGAGTGAAGATATTATCAAAGTTTGTGATCGTGATGTCTCTCTTCAGGTGAAGTCCCCTAGGGGGAGATAATGTCTTGCTGAATTTGAGAGGAGAGATGTCGTTTTATTGCCATCAGATCTGTCGTATCTCTTAAATGTGTTTTGTTTGGTCCCAGTGAAGTTATCACGTGTTTTGTGTATGTTATGTCATTGTCATATCTCTATTCTTCCTTTAAAATAAATATCAATGAGGCCTAGCTAGTGGCTAGTGGTACAAATACATTATTAATCGACTCGACATACAAAAATTTAAACACACATTCTCAATATTGTTGTACGTCGTTAAGATAATAGAGCAATATACAACCTGAGAGGCGAGAGAGCATATAGAAAAACATTTGAGGGTTTTATTTTATAAACTATATATATATATGTATTTGTAAATTGATTAATAATATTTAAAAATCAATGCCACGATTATGATGGCCGACCCTCCTCATTGATAAAAGACAGCACATTTTAATCATGTGTCCTTTTGTTATTGTCGACCGTCTTCAGTCTTCAGTCTTCACTAGTGGGTGTGTGTGTTTGCGGTGGTCTCTTCCTCTCGCTCACGACGCTACCGCTCCCATCTATAGTCGAATTGGACCCTTGTGTGTTTGGGCTTTGTTGTTAACACACATTTGTGTTTTGCCGTTTTGACTTGAAACATATTAATCCTTTGTAACCCACATTGTGTATTTGGGCTTTGTTGTAACACACATTTGGGCTAAAACTTAGTCTACAATTTTAAGACTATTGGGCTTTATGATCTCAGTTAAAAGTATATTAGGGTTTTTGCAGATGCTCGCTCATTTATAAAGTAGGAAGAACCCTAGCCGCTATCATTTGGTTGAGAGGTTTCTACCGCATTTGTCCCGTCGAGACGAAAAATGGGTACCTTCAGGGTAAGCTCTTTGATCCCCTTCCTGATTTCAATGTTGCCATTTGCTTCTGTTTCGAAGGATCTGATCTAAGCTTTGTATTTTCCTTTTGCAGTTTCACCAGTACCAGGTTGTCGGAAGAGCTCTCCCGACTGAGAAGGATGTGCAGCCTAAGATCTACCGGATGAAGCTCTGGGCCACTAACGAGGTCCGTGCCAAGTCCAAGTTCTGGTATTTCTTGAGGAAGCTGAAGAAGGTCAAGAAGAGTAACGGACAGATGCTCGCCATCAACGAGGTACTTAACTCTCTTCTCATCTCTGAAATGATAAGCATACCTCACTGTGTTAGAAGCGTATGAAGTCGATTATCGTTATCCGGAATTGCTAGATTCGAACACTAGGGTTTTGATTAATCTTGTTGTTTATGTTTCCTCTAAATAATTTACATTTGTGTCTTTGTTTCACCTTATGATTCTTGTTATATTCATAGCTACGACATTTTGTAGTCTTTTGTTTTTCTGTGATTTATACAACACTTGAACATTACTAAGTAGCTTGATCTTGCAAATCTATCATTACCTGATTCCTGACTTTGATGATGTTTGTGTGTCTTAGGTCCAGTTTAATATCATTAATTTGAAGACTTAGATTCTCCTAAGTCTATTTCGTGATTATCGAATTGCAATTAGAAACAGTATCATGTTGTCTGATGAGTTTAATATAGTACCATTTGTCTGTTTTTGACTAATGTCATCCATAACCAAATTGTTTGCACAGATCTATGAGAAGAACCCAACCACAATCAAGAACTTCGGTATCTGGTTGAGGTACCAGAGCAGAACTGGATACCACAACATGTACAAGGAGTACCGTGACACCACCCTTAACGGAGCAGTGGAACAGATGTACACTGAGATGGCTTCCCGACACCGTGTCAGATTCCCTTGCATCCAGATCATTAAGACAGCCACTGTCCCGGCCAAGCTGTGCAAGAGAGAGAGCACCAAACAGTTCCACAACAGCAAGATTAAGTTCCCCTTGGTGTTCCGCAAGGTTAGACCACCAAGCAGGAAGCTGAAGACGACTTACAAGGCCAACAAGCCCAACTTGTTCATGTAGAACCGTCTCAGATTGACTCTTTTTTGGGGTGGAATCGATGTTGAAGTTATGCTCTCTGTTGTTTTGGATTTTCTCGGATATTTTTGTTTATCAATATGTTAGGCCTACTCATGAAACTCACTACTCGACCTTGTCTGGATTCTATGGTTTATGTTTTTTTGCTTATGAAATATCCTTGTTCCTTATCTCCTATGTTGTGCACTTATTCTTCAAACAACAATTACCTAAATCAGTTTTGAGTCTTGGAATTTTGTGATACAAAAACTCTGTAACACTAATAAGTATAAAGTCGACTACAAAATCTAAGGGCACTTCAGTCATTTTGAGCCGACGACTGAGAAAAGCATATCTATCTCCCTTTCACATTGGTTTGAAGTTTGGATAGAATCAGAAAGATTCTTTTATAGTTTTTTTTCTTGTCCTTACGAAATAAGATCCCTGTCGCGGAGTAGATTCAGTCAAAGTCAACACAGTAACCACAAGAAGATTCAAGTCTCTCGACAATGGCATCGCAAGACCACCATCATCATCATCATCAAGATCATGAGTGAGGCCTTGAGTTCCTGTTTTCATTGTTTTTCTCTGTAAAGATTTGATCTTTCCTGCGATTTATTCTCCACTAATCTGTATGCATACTTGTGTCGAGTAGCAAATCTGACGCCGGCGATACGAAGACGTCGTGGGTGGGGCAGGACGGGAGGGTGTTCCATAGCCACGATGGACTTGCACCGCACTCACACGAACCAATCTACTCTCCTGGCTACTTCAGTCGCCGAGCTCCTCCCCTTAACGACCGTAACTTCTCTGAGAGAGCTTTCACCGTCGGTATTGGCGGTCCCGTTGGCACCGGGTACTGTTTTCAAATTTACTGCTTGATTTTGTATCATAACAAATTACAGTCTCTGGGTTAAACCATTGAATCTATTGATATTGTTTTTAGATGGATTCAGTGTTCTTGATCACATATTGTCAAGTTTCGCAGAAAAGTGTCAATCTTTTTTGTCTAACTCCATATTGGATTTTGTTTTTCGTCCACTCAGGAAAACGGCATTGATGCTTGCTCTTTGTAGATTCTTGAGGGACAAATATAGTCTTGCTGCTGTGAGTATTACTATCAGCTGCAAATCTTCTGATTACTTAGTGAGATTGTTTCCTTGATCTCAAGAAAAGATTATTGTAAATGGTGTAGGTGACAAATGATATATTTACGAAAGAGGATGGTGAGTTTCTGGTGAAGAATGGAGCTCTTCCTGAGGAAAGGATTAGAGCTGTTGAAACCGGTGGATGTCCACACGCTGCGATCCGTGAAGATATCAGTATCAATTTGGGTCCTCTTGAGGAGTTATCTAACTTATTCAAGGCTGATTTGCTTCTTTGTGAATCCGGTGGAGGTGAGGTTTCAGTTCTTTTACCTGCGTGTGTATCTTTTATAGACTTCTGTTTCTCAAGCATCCAATGAAATTGAATAGGATCAGTGTTGCCTTTGCAGATAATTTAGCTGCTAATTTCAGCAGAGAACTTGCTGACTATATCATCTACATCATCGATGTATCTGCTGGTGATAAAATACCCCGTAAAGGTGGCCCTGGAATCACTCAAGCTGATCTTCTGGTGCGCTTATGCTGCTTCAACTCTTAAACTTACATGCTCTTTTAAAGTCGATAGTAGTGTGAAAGAATCTCTGGTTGATTTTTGCAACTGCAGGTGATAAACAAGACAGACCTTGCAGCAGCTGTTGGGGCTGACTTATCTGTTATGGAAAGGGATGCGCTACGCATGCGTGATGGAGGGCCATTTGTCTTTGCTCAGGTTAGCCATCTTTAGAAATAGGTCTCATCACTTACATAACGAGTGACCTTAGTTCTTTCAAAGGAATCTTCTTTGATTACTAAAACATTTCCAGGTGAAGCATGGGCTTGGGGTCGAGGAAATCGTGAACCATGTCATGCACTCATGGGAACATGCAACCGGGAAGAAGCGCCAGTGATGGGTTGGATAAGAGATAAATCTAAATGGGACTCTATCAATTTGTCTTGAACTCAGTTTATGCGCACTTGTATCTGTTTGTTTGTTGTACTCAAGACATAAGAGAAATAAAGGTTTTGAGCATGAGACTCATTACATTGTGATTGATTTGCATTCTAGTTAATGTCCTTTAACAGAGGCGAAGAGATCGTTGTAGGAACGTTTTGGAGCTTCAGCACGAGCAACTATCTCCACAACCTTGAAAGATGATTCATCATTAAGCAGAGCTTCCACTGCAACTTCTGCGACCTGGTCTCTCGATATGCTTCCTTCATACAGAGTATCCTACAAAGATCAAGGGTAAGATCTTTATCAGTTCCACTACAAAACAGACGAAACAAAGATCAAAGTCTATGTTTTACCTCTGGCTCCATGACAACATTTCCGGTTGGAGGATCGTTTTTAAGACCACCGGGCCTTACTATAGTATAAATGATGCCAGATTTTTTAATATACTTCTCAGCTTGAAGCTTAGCGACCAGAGTCAGTCCAAAGAGGTTGAGGAAGATGTAAGCAGGGTTCAGTATCTGTCCCATTGCAGCTCCATTCACCAAGATTGAGCTTATAAGAACAAACCTTTCCACTCCTTGTTTACGGCAAGCATCCACAAGATTTACTGTCCCAAAATTATCGACTTTCCAAGGCGTAAAAATATCAAACCCGGGACGAAACCCGGTAGCACAAATCACAGCCTGAGAATCATCACCAATAGCTTCAGCTAGCTTCTCAGGACCTTCTGTCACGTCTGCTCTAACCTAGAAGAAATAACAGAGCAGTTGTGAGACTTGACAGGGGAGAAAACATCGGATTAAGAAAAGAACGTACGATCTCAAGAGAAGGGTTGTCTTTGAAAGATGTTTTAGCCTTCTCTACGTCACGAACACCAGCTTTGACGGCAAAGCCACGGGACAACAACTGCTCCACAATCCTCTTCCCGGTATTCCCAGTAGCTCCGGCCACAAACACCTTCTTTGTCTTCACTGCTTCACCTCTTTGCATCTGCGACACAAGCAAAGCCAAATTCAGAATTGGGAATATCTAAATTACCGTTTTCTCTCATCAACTAGATTCTAGCAAATACATAAGAGAATGAGACAGAATTGAAAAATCTAACCTTGATGGAAGTGAAGGAACGAAAAGAGTTGTTCTTGGTGAAGAAGCGAGAAGACTGAGAGAAGAAGACGGCTGAGGAATGTCTGAGAAGCAAAGATGTTGCCATCGAATGTGTGTTAATCTCTCCCACAGACGTTAACTTTGTAAAATCGTGATTTTTAATTTTTTATTATTCTTTGCCTTTTTTTGTTGATTAGACTACGCCACGGGGCAAAATTGTCACACTCTGTTTCAGCTCGCGCAAACTACACAATTACGGAAAACCCCCCAGAAGAGGCAGCCGAGAAAAGTTTTTCGATTCCGAGAAAGTGGCGAGAAAATGACGAAGAAAGCTCCCAGTTCAGGGTTATTGCGGTCTTCGTCTCCGTCGTGCAGTGGAGGCTCTACTCGGTAAGTTTCGTGTATGACGTAGATATAGGTTACAGATCAAGTTTTGGTTTTTACCTGGTTCTGCTTTGATTTCTCTGCTTAGTGTTTAGGTAGGGAATTGAGATCAAACTGGAATGAAATTTGTGAACTTCAATATTCAACAGAAATGGGTGAGAAGAATTAGGAGAGAAGCTGTTAGACTACTCTGATTTTGCATTGTGGATTTTTTAATAGGAACTTAGAGGTGGCTGTGAAGTCCAGTGAAAATGTGAGGAGGTCTACAAGATTAAGACTTCAGCCGTTGAGAAAGCCAAATACAAGCCAGAAGAAGAAGAAACCGGTTAAACTCCGTTCGAAGATGCCTAAGAAACCTCCCACTGCTTTCTTCTATTTCTTGTAGGTACTCCCTCTCCTTCTCATATGATTGCAAACTGTTGTCTATATATTTTAAGCTCAGCTGAACTTCCAAGCACTTAAGGGGAAATATTTCTGCATTTTGCCATTGGTCTTCAGGATGAAATTTCTTTTATGTTTGACATCAGGGTGAAATTTACTTGTTGTTATGTGTTGCTTTAGAAAACATATAAAGAAACGCCTGTTGTATGCATTTTCCTCTTGCCTCATACTGCTTTATCATTTTTGGTTCCAAAGGGAGGATTTCCGGAAGCAATATCAAGAGCAGAATCCGGAGGTCAAGTCCATGCGCGAGGTTGTAGGCTTTGTTTTATTTCAAAGTGAACAAATTTTGACGGTAATATTCACTTTGGTTCGATTGCTGAATTTGTTAATATTTTCATTTTGTTCAGATTGGGAAGTCATGCGGAGAGAAATGGAAAACAATGATATACGAGGTAACATGGGTTTTGCTCTTGTGTCCCAATTACTTTATTGTCTCTTGGACTTCGTTAACATATTTGGCTCTATCATCTTCCAAGAGTTTCCTCAGTGACATTGTTCGAGTGATAGTTAAATGCATGGAATCTGGAATATTGTGATGATAAGTAATGATCAGTTAAGCAATGAAATGGTTACAATCTGGAATATTGTGATGATAAGTAATATGATCGTTTAAGCAATGAAATGGTACAATCTGGGTTGGCTGTTGCCAGATTGCAATTCACACTCTGTAGTTTTCTTGTTCTTTTTGTGAACAATCTCTCTATTTTTCTTGCTGCTCACATGATGTTTTGTTGGTATAATGAGATATTTCTGGTTGAGACATGAATCAAAGTTTCTTATACGTATTGTTTGTTCCTCTACTGTATTGTAGGAAAAGGTAAAGTATTATGATATAGCCACTGAGAAGAGGGAAGAGTTTCACCGAGCAATGACAGAATATACCAAGAGGATGGTACCCATTTTTTCATTTATCATATGTTTTCCAATTAATATTTATTCACCTCAGTATCCCTCTGATGCGGTGGTAAAACATTAGTCTAACCTTTTCATTTTACTACTGTTCATGCAGGAATCAGGTGAACACGATGAATCAGAGACCGACTCAGATTATTCTGAATAGATTACTTTTTAGTTTTTAGAAAACATTGTTCTAAGCCTTCTAGGATGGGTTTTTGTATATTGACGTTTAGAAGTTTCTGTTTCATTGAGATCATTCCCTGATACTCATTCTTCTGTGGAGTATACATGGAGATCAATGAATACAAACTAGTTTCTTGAGTGGTGGCCAAAGGTTTCGTTTCTTTATATCGTAATCTTCTATTTGAAAATAAATTTCCAGATTGCAGACTGGCGAAAAGGTGGATCATGTTTGACAAAATACACTTGAGATTAACACAGACAAATTAACAGGTACTTTTCGATTTCTCGGTTACACACATGTGATATGAAATTGAAAGTCACACCCCATTAGAATAGATGATGAAAACTCTACACCAACAATATCTTTCATGCTAGTAACTTCTGTGGCTGATACAAAAATAGAATGCGACTTCAACAAGTCACGCTAGTTTTTTACGGAGAGAGACAAAAGACAAGACGAAGCATGGACGCGATAGGCGTCACCTTCGATCCTACCATGGACTGTCTTGAGCTTATCTTTGTATTCATTGAGTTCATCGAGGGTAAGCGCCTCGATGGGCTTCTTGAATCTCTCATCCCCAGCAGATTCGAGCTTCTCCTGATCCTTTTCGCCTCGTTTCTTCTCAGCTTCAATCTCTTGGTTGAGCGAATCAAGACGTTCACTCATCTTCTTCAGTTTAGGTCCATTTCGCGCTCTTCCTTCTTCATCACCACTATCTGACTCATCATCGTCCCTCATGAATCGCTCTACAACAGAATCGAGATCCGGTTTCCCGTAGGAGAAAGGCTTGCCTCCTGGTGAAAAGACAACAATACCCAACTCAGCATTGCAGAGCGTGGCCAACTCGCTCGCCTTCTTGAACAAACCGGTCCTCCGTTTGGAAAAGGTGACCTGCCTTGTGTTCATGTCTTGAACCATCTCCATCTTGATCTTTCTCCGACCCATTTGTTCGCTAAACGGTACGAAGAAAGAGCAAGTCTCTCGTCTTTTTTTTATTTAAGAAGATTTTGTATTTTGCTACTACTGAGTAATAGAGGTGGTGATTTTTCATTGAACCTAACAAGAGTATCATATATAGTGGTGGTGGTGGAGAATTCACAAGAGTGCATACTTAGGAAGTTTTAATTGAAAATCTAAAATTGCCTTATATGGCCGTTGAATAGTTGCTAATTGTGTATTTAAAACATCCTGGAATATTTAAAATTTTTCATTTTTTTCTTACTATTGAATAGTTTCTAATTGTGTTATTCAACCATACATTAATCTTCTAAAATTCAATCTTCTATTCCACCTTGGTCCTTCAATATATAGATAAAATATCGATTCATTACCTTGTGAAAAATAGCTAACATAGAAATAAAAACTCTTTGAATAAGAGAAAGCGCGTAAATTTAACGCGCGTAAATCTAACGCGCGTTTATCTTTTTCTTTTTCTTTCTCCTATGCTTCTCAATTTCCCTTTGTATTTGCCTTTCCGGTTTGTCTTTCCGGCGCCAGAAAGGGTTTTCAATTTGTTTTTTGTTTTAAGTGTCAACGACTGGATTTTGACTATGGTTCTCCGGCCCATTACTATTCTTGCATTTTCGTCTTTCTTATTAGGCCTGGCTAATGGGCTTTACAATCATCAAAACCCACTACCAACAATATTCATTTTTTATGGACCCTTTTATATGTTTTAAAATAATGCTAATTAATAAGTTATAGACCAAAATTATGATGTGTTTTAATGGTTTGTGTTCATTTTTTTTGGACACTTTTGTCATATTATAACGTTTTTGTTTGCGTTTTTATTTTGGGATTTTATTATTTATAATTTCAAACAAGTTCCTACAAACTAGAAAAAGTGGATATTATTTCTAAAAAAGTAGAGCTGGTTTTTAAATCAAGATTGATTTTTTATTATTATTATATGAAATGTAGTTTATTACCATGAAAACACTGAGAACATGACCAAAGGTTTGTGAGTCTCTCAAGTTATGTGTTACGAGAGTATATTTACTTATTCGAAAGAATCAAAGTAGAGTAAAAATTTGGACTGATACTATTAAACAGGGTCATCTCGGTTCTTGGAAACGAATTGTGTTGTGTTCACACCGCAATATGTTTATGTACTATTTTTTTGCACACAAGTAAGTAAACCGATCCATTAATTTTACAAAGCTTCTTAAATATTTCACACTTACAAAAGTAATTTACAAGAGATAAAATCACCATCACATTTCCAAGATTCAACAAACCAGAGATACACAACTTGATCACGAATTATAAACTCACTTTCCGGGGACGAAGTTAGTGGCGAAGGCCCATGCGTTGTTGTTGACTGGATCAGCCAAATGGTCAGCAAGGTTCTCCAACGGTCCCTTTCCGGTGACGATGGCTTGAACAAAGAATCCAAACATAGAGAACATAGCCAACCTCCCGTTCTTAAGTTCCTTCACCTTCAACTCAGCGAAAGCCTCGGGGTCAGTAGCAAGACCCAATGGGTCGAAGCTGCCACCTGGGTAAAGCAAGTCCTCTGCTTCTCCCAACGGACCATCTCCGGCAACTCTGTAACCTTCCACAGCTCCCATGAGGATCACTTGAGTGGCCCAAATGGCTAGAATGCTCTGAGCGTGGACCAAACTCGGGTTGCCCAAGTAGTCCAATCCTCCGTCACTGAAGATCTGTGATCCAGCCTTGAACCAAACCGCTTCTCCGAACTTCACTCCATTCCTCGCCAATAGCTCAGGGAAAACGCAGCCTAGGGCTCCTAACATGGCCCATCTGCTGTGGATAACTTCTAGCTCACGGTTTCTGGCGAAAGTCTCGGGATCGGCGGATAGACCAGCAGTGTCCCACCCGTAGTCACCGGGAAATTCTCCTGTGAGGTAGCTTGGTGGCTCGCCAGAGAACGGACCCAAGTACTTGACGCGGTCGGATCCGTACCATGGGCTGCCGGATGGACCGGTGGGTTTGGAGGCTTTGCGCATGGTTACTCGGCCGGTACCAAAAACTTCAGAGGCCGCCGGGGATAGCTTGACGGCCTTTCCAGCCAAAGCAGGAGAGGAGAGAGCCATTGTCGAGGCGGCCATTGCGGTTAGACTGTGGTGCAAGTAAAAGGCTCTTACTCTTAGTTAAGTTGTGATGAATTGGATGGTTAGGTTACGGTGATGTTATTAGGGTATTTATAATGTGAACCGAAGGTAAACTAAAACTTGAAGATTTAAGTTGCTTATCTAGGGATATCACCAATGTCTTGATTTCTATTGGTTGTTGACATTTTTAAGCTTAGATTTTTTATTTTGTCTTGCCGAGGTGGCATCAGTGGGTCTTGTTTGGAATTTGAGTATTTTGAGTTGTGTGTTTGATAATTTAGAGATATCTCGTAGAATTGTGTTAGCATATTGGAGTACCCATTGAAGGCGTGCCACATGTAAACTCTGACGTGTTTCTCTATCCGTTTCGAATCGTATCAGTCTCAATAGGTACATGTCTTAAGATATTTTTTTTCTGATCGTCTTTAGTGTTTCCCCAAATGGACGTGTGATAATAACAATCAAAGCAATTCGATACCAAAAACTTGATTGATGCATATACCACTCACTCTACTTACTCATTTCTTTCACAAAAATGAAATATGAGGATGAGTATTAGGTGAACATTTCATTATCAATCACTCTAATTTGTTCCATCAAATATGGAGATTTGCTTTTACCAAAAAAAAAATATATATGGAGATTTGGGTTCTGCATATAATAAAAGCATTAGAAAGTAAAAGTAAAACTAATTACAATATTCATCTTCAAAACAATTTGTGAACCGTTTTTAAGTATGAGCAAGGCAACTTACCAGTCATTTTTCTTGCTGAAAACAAACTAATTAATCAATCAACATAATGGTTCTTAAAGAATGCATATATATATAACGTTGTTTTTTTTTTCCTTAAATCTGTTCAATTGTTGTAAACGTGAAAACTTGTAGCACTTTTGGTTAAATCTAAAATGCATTGTTTCACTTAAAAAATGGTTTGGTTGCACAATGTAGTAGTTTAACTTTTACGTTCCAAAAAGTGTTAAAATAAAATTACAGAAAAAAAAAAGAAAAAAAAAAAAAGAGAGAGTAACGTACTTGATATTTATAAAATATATCCTGTTAAAATTTATATTTGCAAAATTTTATTCAAAGTTCCAAAGTGGACAAATCACAAGTGTCTTCATTGCAGCTTATAAGAATCTGGCAAAAAAGCTTATGGACTAGAGAGTGACACATAGGACAAGATAAAGACGAACCCAAAATCTCATAAGCCAATCAGTAAACAGATACAGATACTTCATAGATAACAAACCTTACTCTTAACATTGCTATAAAGCGGATCTATACCCCAACCAGTTTCAATCACTCTCACCAGTCACAACAAAAAAAAAAAACAGAAAAGAAAAAGAAGAACGAAGAAAGATTCTAATGGCTTCCTCAACCATGGCTCTGTCCTCCCCTGCCTTCGCTGGAAAGGCTGTGAAGCCCGCAGCATCAGATGTCCTCGGAACCGGCCGTGTGACCATGAGGAAGACTGTTGCCAAGCCTAAGGGTCCATCAGGCAGCCCATGGTACGGATCTGACCGAGTCAAGTACTTGGGTCCCTTCTCCGGCGAGCCACCGAGCTACCTTACCGGAGAGTTCCCAGGTGACTATGGATGGGACACCGCCGGTCTATCCGCTGACCCAGAGACCTTCGCCAGGAACCGTGAGCTAGAAGTCATCCACAGCAGATGGGCCATGCTCGGAGCCCTTGGCTGCGTTTTCCCTGAGCTATTGGCCAGGAACGGAGTCAAGTTCGGAGAAGCCGTTTGGTTCAAGGCCGGTTCCCAGATCTTCAGCGACGGAGGATTGGACTACTTGGGCAACCCCAGCTTGGTCCACGCTCAGAGCATCTTAGCCATTTGGGCCACTCAGGTTATCCTCATGGGAGCTGTTGAAGGCTACAGAGTTGCCGGAGATGGCCCCTTGGGTGAGGCAGAGGACTTGCTTTACCCAGGTGGCAGCTTCGACCCATTGGGTCTTGCTACCGACCCCGAGGCTTTCGCGGAGTTGAAGGTTAAGGAGCTCAAGAACGGAAGGTTGGCTATGTTCTCCATGTTTGGATTCTTCGTTCAAGCCATCGTCACCGGAAAGGGACCATTGGAGAACCTCGCCGACCATTTGGCTGATCCAGTCAACAACAACGCCTGGGCCTTCGCCACCAACTTCGTCCCCGGAAAGTGAGCGAGATAAGCTTGTTAAGTGAATGAGAGCAGAGAAAGAGAGTTTGTTTGTGATCTTTCCTATGTAAATTTGTGAAATTTCCTTTGTCGTATCTTTGTATGATTTATCAGAAATCGAAGCTCTTTTTCTCTAACTGTGTTGGTGTTTTTACCTAGAGACTCAATTGAACTGAACTACCCATTCTTTGTAAATTTCACGCAATTGCAGATGATTTATGTTCTGTATTTGGACAATCTACCAAATACGGGAGAAACAAAAGGCAAATGAAACTATATATTAAAAAACTTGTAGCAAAATTACAACAGAGATAAGAAAGAAAACAAACAATTGGTCCTAAGATGATGCCGTCGAAGTGCCAGAAGATGCTTCACTCTTTCTGAAGCTCCTCTGGTTCTAATTATCCAAAAGATGCTTCACTTGGCAAACTTCAAAAAGTACTGATCTTTGGAAACAATTTTTTATTGTCGAGATATGAGACGTGTGTTGTAACTATTTTTGCAAGTTTGACATAGAAACCTCTGTGCAGCTTGTTTTCCACATGTTTTTAGTCCCTCCTGTAAAAGTAAAATGGTTCTAGCCTATTAATGGAGAGTTGTATCTCTTCCTAAGCGAGCACATTCCAATATCACAAAATGATTGCAGGACCAGGAGGAGTAAAAGAACTTACATGGTTAGTGTGGGATCTGGAGAAGAATGAGAGCAGTTAAATATAAACAGAACGAGATGGCAGCTCCAGCAATGACATTGTGGAGCAGCCTCTTGTCGTCTTTTGTAGGTATGAAAACAGACTTTAATGTATTCGTAAGCTCGAATAGTCGGTGCGACACCTGAAGATATCAAATTAAGAGAACATATTACAATCTATATAACCTAGAGAGGATAAATGGTCTTTCTTCATGGATTCTACTATTGCTTTACCAAGATATATATGGCCGTAACGAGCATGAAGTTGAGCATTGGGTATTCTGGAATGATGCATAACAGCCACTTAGGCTGTCCATTAGGTACATTTGATCTGCAGCACAAGCAAATTCCATTCAAATCATTGAGACAAATGGTTTCTTGCCTATTTAATTGGGAGAAAGGAAACAGTATCTCGCCGACCTTAACCAGATGTGAAACTGAGAAATATAAGTCTCCAGTGTAATCTTGCCGAGCCACCTAAAAAAGCATGTCGGTTGGGTCTTATTAGAGACGTGTTCAGAATAAACATCAAGATTAGGTGAAATGGAGTAAGAGTGAGACACATACGCAAATAGTGTCAGGGAGAAATTTCGTAGCTGCTGTGTGGAATTTCGCAGACAGATGTAGACACTGAGACAGCAGAATTAATCCTAGAGTCAGAATCCAGAACGAAGACTACCTCAAGATTTGATAAATTAGGTGAAAGAAAAGGGTTTTGATACAAACGTTATCGGAATCCATGACGTGTAGGGATGATATTTGTTGTACGTAACCTTGTCAAGCTTGTAGATGTATTCATACCATAAGTAACCAACCTGAACAGTACAAGGGACAACTTGGGCATCATAAGAATATCAAATATAAAAAATCCATAAGCCAGAGAGAAGCCAAACTCACAAATGAGGAAATTGCAATTATGCTCGTCTTTACTGACATCTTTCTCTTGGCATCACACTCTTCCAATTTCTCCATCCATCTCTCTACCTGAGATGGAAATGTCGAAAGATATTTGAATAGTACATTCCACGAGATAGAATGAAAATAGGAGAGGGCCATAGGTTCAAGAGTTACAGTGGGATGGAAATAGGCATATATCATTCCAATGATCCATATGTAGCGGTCAAGTCCAGACCTGAAGTGCCATTCATGTAAAAGTGGTAGATCTGGTTTAGCTGGATCAGTGTATCCTGTAGTTATTTAAGGAGAAAATTAAATGTTAGTCAACATACAAAACACAAATCCCAATGACCAAGTGGTATCCAAACACACTGGCAGGACAATTGTTTTAGCACAAGACAGATACGCACTCGCCACGCGGAAATCAGTATAATATATGAGAAAAGTCTAATACTTACCTAGTAAGAATGTTAGAGGACTCCAGAAAATCTCAAAAACTCCAGGAATCTCCCACATCACGATAACCACGAGAAAGCATGAAGCAATCTTCACAGCCATTACTGATGGTATTTCGTTATACCGACTGAAGATACCAAGGGCTCCATACACCATAAGAGTGAACAGAGTGTGCATTGGACAAATGTAGTATAACATATAATCATTATTGAGAATAATGCAGCTAAAAGCCACAAATAAGTTAAGACGCCACATCATCTGGAAGAAGTAAAAAGTTTCATGAGCATCTTGAGTCATATAAAGAAAGATATGCTTCTTAGAAGTTTATATCATGGTAAACTAATTCACTGTGGCAATTGAAACTGTTGATATGACCTGAGTAAATCGTGCTAGGGAGAAATCCTTTCTGATGTAGTAGTACGAGAAGTTCCCAAAACCAGTCATCCAGACGTAGGCGGCGATGAAGACCCTGATTGCATTATATATCTCAGTCGCAGCAAAGTAATGATACATCAGAAATAGAACCTGCAAAGACACAAACATATATTAGCATGAAAAATAGTTGCAGAACAAAAATATCTACCAAGAAGCTCGGAAGTACTCTGCGAAGTAGAGGCGTACATGTACTGAGAAAAGACTGAATTAATTACCTGCATCCATCCCTTCCACTCTTCAGTCTGGTGACGATTAAGGTACAGAATGGACTTTCCTGTTATAGGTGATTTGTCATTGTGTTTCTTCAAGGAAGTCATAGCTGACACTATAATGAGAAGACAGTAGAGAAAGAGGAAAAGGTCTCGGTTGTAATTCTGCAATTGTAAACCATATTAAAAAAGAAGAGTCATCAATTGCAAAACCATTTTCAGACTGAAATGTTAGCTTTCTACCTTCAAACTATTTATGGACATACTTTAATTATATTACACATAAACTGTTTTTAGATCTTTAAAGAACAATTGAAATTGAGAAAGGGAATCCCATCAATTAAATTTAAAGGAGGCACCTTTTTAGACTCTCCAAGCAAGCTTGTTCGATCGGAAATATAAAAGTAAAAGAGAATCCCCCCAAACTCAGCCCTGACAGGATTAATATGGTCAAGAGGGAAAATGATGATCAGCAATACAGCATAAATGATGATCAGCAATACAGCATAAATGATGATCAGCAATTCAGCATAAATGATGATCAGCAATTCAGTATAAATCTTTTCTAAATTTCTAGTAAAATTAAGGAACTTACATCGCTCTCAAGGTTGCTCGATTATCAATCAAGAATGAGTCTTCTAGCGTCAGAAACCTACAAGTATACAAACGTAAATGGTTTATTTTATGTTGAGAGAAGACCAACTCTAAGGAACAAAAAGAAAAAGAAATCTGTATAAGTACCTAATCAAGTTTGTTTTGATAGGTGAGTTATAAAACTTTGTAGAAATGGATCTTGCAAGACCTCCTTCAAGTAAAACTGCTCCTTCATCTTCCTTTATTTTCACCTCACCAAGTTCAACCAAATTATTATCTGAATGGCTGCAAGTAAGAGGTAAAGATATTGGAAACCAGAAAGAAATAAAAAGTGAAATAAAGCAGATTATATAGGTTGCTGACGAGTTAGATACAATTATATTGCAAATACATACACTTTAGAGTGCAATGAAGACCTCTTATACTCTAGAAACTCAGAGTATATCCATGCTATGAAGACAGGGATGACTCCGAGCAGAAACGAAACCTGCATTAAGGAAGAATAAGATATCAAGTAAGATACAGATACATAAAGCATGTGAAACCAAATCTGTGGTGGTGAAACATTTTCAATTTAAAGATTGAAGCTAAATCTTTGAAATTGAACTTAAAAGTTACTAGCATTAGAAGCCAGCAAAGTCCCTATTAAGACACATCAGAAACATTTGATCTCTCTAAGAAACTGATCCAAATTGTAAATTCAATCACTCAGCAAACTAACGATGTAGTAGTGGAAATCACATTGAACTGCAAAACTATACATTCCAAATCTAAGAATCCCAAAAAGTAACGAAATGAAGAAGACACTGAAGCTTGAAACACACAAGAGTAACGAGATGCAGTACCTGGCCAGGCGTAATTGGCTCCGAATCCGCCATTACACTGGATCCACGAAGGGATCTTCAATCAGATGCTGGAAATCCAAAAGATGAGAAGAGACAGGGAGAGTGATTCCCACTTCACCGTCAGATCTAAGGTATCGAATTCGACCTCCAGATTAAAAAGAAAAACGAAGCCACAGGATCCGAAGCCCTAAGAATAGAGCAGGAAGGAAGGTGCGAACAGAGTAGAAGAAGAAGAAGAAGAAGAGATCTGAAGTGAAGAAGGTATTGCTTTGCTTCAAGGGTGGAGAAAATGTCAGGTGCGACGTCGTTCTCTTCAAGCTCCCTCCACCCGAACGGTTGTTGGTTTGGCGATTCGCCTCTTTTCTGGTCCGTTCGGTTTTTTTTCCTTTCTCTCGTATTTTTTTTTTTTTATTTAAGTATCGGAGATTACATTGATTACGAACAAATAATATTTGATTACTGTTAATACATAAATTAGTAGAGACATAACTAGTTATATAGATTTAAAGTGCATTTAATGACCAATAAAGCGAAGATAAATGTTTGGTGAATACAAATTAGTATGGTCGTGTGTTTATTTTACCTATTAGCATCGAATGCTTTAGATTGTTAAAATCCATAACAAAAAGCATTTAAAATCATGAATTCATGATATACTTATGACATCAAGTACTCCATCCTTCCCACACGTTATGTGCATCATATAAAGCTTTTCGGGTTTCATGTTCTTTTCGGTATGATGAAGCTTATCGGTTTCATGTTCTTTTCGGTCTTCACGGAGCTACAACTCTCTTTCATCCACTTGGAAAGAGTCAGATAAGCCGAGTTACGTGACTTTTCTTTTCATATTATACTATTTTACATACAGCTTTTATTTAGTTCACACCAAATTTCAGTATTTCACTATACTAATATTTTAGTCTCTCTCAGAAAAAAAGTCACAGGTGGATGGAACAAACACAAATCAAACTTCTCCTACAAAGTCATACCTTTCCCTCTTCATCTCCTCCACCAACAAACCGGATTCTTCCGTGCCACACTGTTAATTAATCGCTTCCGGCTAAAAACTCCATTGTCTCGCCGTCGATCGCAATCCAGCTGCGTCCTGGTGTCTTAATGACGCCTCTGTCTCTCATCAACGCCCTCATCTTCGCACAGTCACCTCACATCTTCATATCAGCAACAACCTTTGAAGAGATGACAAAATTTTCCGCATTTTTCACTTCCTTCATCTCCATCAACATCCTCGTCCCCTTCTCTGCAATCCCCACATCTTTTCTCTTATGACGCGCTCCAAGGATCGCTGCTAACATGGTCTCATCAGGCTTCCCAGGATACCTCTCCATGAACTTCCAAGCCTCTTCTAACAATCCCCCACGAGACAGGAGATCGATTATGTTTGTGTAATGCTCTTTTGGGACCAACCCGTACAAAGAACTCATTTCATGGAAAATACCACAGCCTTGATCGAGCAAACGGACATGCACACAAGCAGAGAGCACTCCAACGAATGTAACTTCACTTGGAGGAACTGACATTCGATCAAACAGCAAAAGAGCTTCTTTAGCATGTCCATGATGCGCATAAACGGTTATCATAGCGTTCCAAGTGGCTTCGTTTTTCACTGGATGGCTTCAAATACTCTCAGAGCTTCCTCTATATGAGTCTGCACTTTCCGTGCATGTGGACTAGTACTGCGGCCTCATAGATGTTACATTGCAAGCCAATATCTAAAACGTAGGTCTCCAGGGAAACTCCTTTTTTTCCATCTCATATAACAGTTTAAAAGCTTCACTTGCCTTACCATTTTGTGAGTATCCAACAAAGAACAACCGAAATACTTCAAATTTAGCTTTATTAATGGGTTAAAGAAATAGAATTTATCTTAATAAAGACTTAAACATTGACTTACATAGTGATCATAGCATTCCAAGTAACTCGATCCTTCTTAATCATTTGATTGAAAAACCTTCTGGCTGAATCCAAATCGCCGCATTTTCCATACATACTGATCAATGTAGGCCCGAGGAACGTGCTTAACCCGACCTTTTTGGTGAATGGGTATCTCCTCAAGCAATCTACCAGTTGTCAAATCCCCCAAATGTGCACAAGCACCCAACTTACTCACCAACGTCCTCTCATCTGGTTCAAATCTTTCATCCTCCATCTTCTTAAACAAATCCAAATCGTCTTTTTCGAGACCTGCCTCAGAATACCCAGAGATTATCGAGTTCCAAGACACCGTACCTCTGTCAGGAATTTCGTCGAAGACCTTACGGGCATAATCCACCTCACCGCACTTTGCATACAACTTGACCAAAGAGTGATTTGTATGATCGTCTCTTTCCAAGCCGACTTTGAACAACAACGAAGAATGAACAGATCTACCACCCCCTAACTCTTCAAGATTTCCTCAAGCAATGACAACGAAATTATCAGGCTTAATCCAGAAAACTTCATGCGACGATACAGAGACAGAGCAGCTCCGTGATCATGCCAAGTGTTAGTCAACCCTCGGATCATGTAATTGAAAGAGTAGTGGTTCGGTTCTTCCGTGACGGATAAGAGAAAAGAGGCCTAATTGAAGTCCCCAAGCTCGACGGCCCTGCGAATCAGAAAATTGGGTTTGTCGGTCGACGGAGTGTACGAACATATGTGCTTGAATCTCTCGCAATTGGTTCACGGAGACGCATTTTTTCAACAGGCAAAGAAGGTCCCTTTCAACTTTCAAGATCGCCGCGTCGTGCTTCCTCAAATTGTCTAGGTTTGAAATGAGGATATTGGCGGTAAATGGAGTACGCTAGTTTGCGCATTTGCAAACTATCACAAGAACTACACATGTGATACAGGTTTAGGTATTAGGTTCGGATATGGGTTTGGGTTTAGGTTCGGTTCCGGGGATAACCAAGCTGCTTTGGAGTGATTACTGATTAGTTTAATTTAATCACATGTAAATATGTAGTATACGCTTATGATTTGATCCCAGATAATTTTAACATGTGGATAAAATCTTTCATAAACAAAACAAATAGTCCAACTAGCATTATCTTATGAGTAAGCTGCACACTACAGCTAGCAAGTTGGTGCATCATTATGTATATCCTTTAAACCAACAAAACTGGAAACCCAACGGAGAGAACTTGGGTTGGTTTTGACTGTTTCTTAACATAAAATAACATTTATCTATTTGGGAGTCGACCTGTGTCCTTTGCTCTCCAAAACCATCTGCTGCAATTCAGCAGTATTAACCTTTTCTTTTGTTAATTCAAAAGTACACAGAATAAGCCATTATTTTGCTTTACCAAGTTGCTCAAAAAAGGCAAAGTTTGACTTTTGTTCACTGTGTTTTCTTTCTTAATTGGTTTTGGCTTAAAGAAACTATAAAAAGGCATAAGCCTCATTACAATCTCTCAAACACAAAACTTCAAACATCAATCAAAAGCTTACCGTCTCTTTTCCTTCTTTCTATTTCTCAGATTGAGTAGATAAAACAAAAACAAAAAGAAAGACAAATGGGTGACATATCATTAAGCAAAAGCAACCATGGAAATGTTGTTGTGCTCAACATCAGCGCTTCCTCTGTTGCAGACACCAAAAACGAGTCACTATACTCGCCACTGATCTCTGGCCATTTCTTGCAAAAGGTGAGTTTTTTTCTTTCCGGTCCCTTGAGGAGAAAATGCTTATTTCTCTCTTTAAAGCTTCTCTTTTTCTACATACACATATTCAAGTATTCGTGTTAACTGATATTTATGGTGATCGGTTTTAATCTGCAGCTTATAGCAGAACTCGTGGGAACTTATTACCTGATATTTGCGGGATGTGCCGCTATAGCTGTGAATGCTCAACACCACAATGTTGTGACTCTTGTGGGCATTGCAGTGGTTTGGGGTATAGTCATTATGGTTCTTGTTTACTGTCTCAGCCACATCTCAGCACATTTTAATCCCGCTGTCACTCTTGCCTTAGCATTTTCCAAAAGATTCCCTCTATATCAAGTCCCAGCCTACATAACTGTTCAAGTCATCGGATCAACCTTGGCCTCTGCAACTCTGCGTCTTCTGTTTAATCTAAACAACGATGTGTGCAGCAAGAAACATGATGTCTTCCTCGGGTCATCTCCTTCTGGGTCTGATCTTCAAGCATTCGTGATGGAGTTTATCATTACTGGCTTCCTCATGTTAGTCGTCTGTGCCGTCACAACCTCCAAGAGAACAGTAAGCGATCAATAAGCAATAACATTTCTTGTTCAAATGATATAAATGAAGTTGAATCTTAACATTGATAAATCTTGCAGACTGAAGAACTAGAGGGGTTAATCATTGGGGCAACCGTCACACTGAATGTTATCTTTGCCGGGTAATTTTCACTTTTCCCCTTCATTCTCTGCGAGCTTAAGATCTTCAATGGTATGAATCTTTTTGGCTAACCATTTGGGGAAATCCAATTTTGCATTTTACAGAGAGGTATCAGGAGCATCGATGAATCCAGCAAGAAGCATAGGGCCTGCCCTAGTTTGGGGATGTTACAAAGGAATCTGGATATACTTGCTGGCTCCAACACTTGGTGCTGTCTCTGGGGCCTTGATTCATAAAATGTTACCGTCTATACAGAATGCAGAGCCTGATTTCTCCAAGACAGGATCTTCTCATAAACGAGTTACCGATCTTCCTGTGTAGATAAAAATTTTAAGGTCAATCTTCGTTTTTGGGTATCTTCAAACCTCTTCACTGCTCCTCATTTCCATGTAACTAATCATTATCAACACATACTGGTTGTAAAGTAGAGCATATATATGTATATGTGTAAGACTTGTAAATAAAATGAGAAGTCTGTATCATTGTGCCTTACAAGACTAATTCAAGAACATAACGTAAAAGACTATATTGAGAATGTGACTTTGATTAGCAGACAAGATATTACAAATTTACAATTTTGACTGAGAAACGCTGTGGAACACTTGTGAAGAAACTAAAGTTACAGTAAGTGTAATTACCGTTACAAGAACCAGTAAACCACTGATTCATCTACATCCTGCTTGATCGTCAAGATTTGAGTTCTTGTTGATGGAATGTGTTCAATCTCTTTGTTGTGTTCTCTGGCTTGTTCTTGGGATGATCAGCGGTCTGAAGCAAACCAAGGCGAAAAGCAATTCCATGATGAACAAAATCATGCTGATCCAGACAAATAAAGTTCTCCTCCAGTTCCATATGATCCTTTTAAAGAAAGGAAGTTCAGATTCAAGCAACAGAGATGCATCGTAAATCTCTGGAATACCTGCTCCAGGACGAAACTCTGCCCGTTGTTCAATCATTATCTTTAAGCAAGCAGTAGGAATTATGTCCTTTTCGACAAACCCTTTGAGATTCAAGTTCAAGGTTTGGATTTCAGAGACGTAGCCCGTGACAAGCGGAGCAATCTTTAGTAAAGTCTGGACAAGACGTATAGGCTCACTTCTGAATCTTATCATACACGGCCGCCTTGAACTAGCAAGAATTTGACCACTCGCGGATAAGAAGTCCACCCGAAGCTGAAACATCCCAAGATTTCTATTGTACTCAGACTCAGGCAATGTAATTGAGACAGTGATTATTGTCCTGTCCTTCAAGCCTCTGATCTTCTCGGTTTCGATACTTTCCTTGCAACTCGAATCACAGGCCATACCAGCACATGAACTTATGGGCACATACGCTTCTGGACTACTCTTAGTGTAATCAAAATTCAAGCCTTCTCTGATTACAAGTGGTTCATGAGCCAAATGGGTTATCACAAAACCGCTAATCATAAACGCAGAAACCAACAAGGCGAACAACATGATCCCCACATAAACAGCCCACAAAAAACCCCAAGCAAACCTAAGCGCAACCTCCAACACAGGCTTATCATCTTTTAACCCAAAATCACATAACTCTACAATCCACGATACTAAATAGCGTCTACCACGCCTCATTGTTCCATGGGGATCGGAAACAAAGCTCAAGCAGCTATGAATTAACAATGGAGGAAGCCTTATAAAGCTAATCATCAAACTAACTTGAAATTCGATTGACCTGGTCACTAGTCCGATCAAGGACCAATCCGTAGAAGTATGTTCCGGTTCGACATTACCCTCACCTCGCTCATCATTCAAGGTGGTTGCTGTAAACGGGTCAACCCGACCCGAATCATTCACATTCATACTCTCTTCCGTATCAATACACGAGTCAATCACTTCAAAGTCTTCCCCTTTCATAGGAATTGGGTCGATTAGGCTGCTTCCTGAGTCAGTTGCATCGGCATCACTCTCACTTGTTCCCAAATTTCCTAAAAAACGCTTGTCATTTTCTCCCACGGTGCTCCGTTTCACGGAAGATTCCAATGTAGCAGAAGAGGAAGACGACAAATCCGTGTCCATAGACAACCTTCGGCGGTGGAGATTTACGGCAGGAGACGAATTGAGGCAGTCCTCTGATGATGATTCTGATTCTGATTCCATTGATTAAAACATGCAATAGAACAAAACTTGATGATGACGGAAAGCTTCTAACGATAGCTTAAAAAAGAGAGAACAACATTACATACACAGTCTCCTAAAAACAGCTTTGATACCGTCGTGTTGTCGGCTTAAACGACGGTGGTTGCCTCTTCAGTTACTGGGCTTTAACTGGGCCTCAAATTCGTAGTGGGCTACTCACACCAGACTCCAAAGTTTTTCTTGTCTGAAAATGATTTTCGCTTAAGATTTCGGTCGGATTGCAGGAAGAGATCAATGCAAATTACAGGCTAGAACATGAATCTTGTGTTGGAATTATACAGTCAAAGGGTTAAGTCTCCAATGTTAAGTAAGAGAAAATGATCAAAGTTGCGAAGATGCTTGAAGGAGAGCCTGAGATAGAACAGAGTACCCTAAGAAGTAAGAAGTCAGACCCTAATGTATACAGATATGACTTGCATGTCAAGCCAGAGTCAGGGACCTCGACGATTCCTTCAGGTCATGTCTATTTCATCTGCTTACCTATTGTATCCAGCTAGTTCTGAGTCCGTTCTTTAGATCGCACATAGCAGCCTAGTTTCATCTCCTTCTCTGTAATGTCTTTGAATTTTATTACAACAAAGCCATCTCAGATATCTTAATTATATTAGGATGACGATGTTGATATTTAACCGTAAATCGATTCTCAAACTGAAAATAAAATTAGTAAAATGGCAAAGTCACCATGTTACAATAACAAACCATTTTGTGGAGTATTCATAGTACTGATCGATTGAAACGTTAACAATTGAACTTATTTTCCAACTAACATATATATACCATCGTGAACTAGGAAAGAAAAACATTTAGTCATATTGTAGAAAGTTGCTAAAAGACGATGATAGGATTCGAAGAACCATAGAGCTTACCAGTAATCTTGGCAGGAGCAGCCCCCGTTTTTGTAATGGTGGAATCTACATTTATCACGCGCTATGATTTCTCTGCCGGTGATCTCTGAGATCATCTTAAGTGTATTGTGGCTATCAACACAGGTTCGCAGGTTTTTCATAACAGTGAATGATTTCCGAGCAGGTGAGCTAAGGATCCCGCAAGCAACGGCGAGCTTGTGGCTTCCAAAAAGAAGTTTTTCCTCTTTTTCCTCTTCTAGCAATGCTTCCCAATAAAGAACCTTTGTGGCAGGGACAAAACCCATATCTAGCATTTGCACTTTTAAACTCCTCAATGCAGCAACGATTTTGTCACTCTGTGGATGTGAAGTAGTATCTCCTGCTTTAAAAGAAAGCATGCGTGTTTTCTCTTCTCTTATCATCCAACGACGTCGAATTTCCTTTATTTTCTCCTTTGCAGAGTCTGATGCTTTTGCTGCTACAAGACCTGCATTTGACTCTTTCTTCATTCTTGTGGCATCTAACTTCTTGGCTAACTCTGCAAACCTATCTCCTAGGTCTAACTCTCCATGAACCCAAGCAAGATTCATCAGAGTCTCACACACTTCGAAGCTCGGTTCCACTGCCATCCTTTCAACAAACTCTAATGCCTCATCCAAATGACCACAAGCTGCCAACATCTCGGTTACGCTCACATAGTCTTCCATGGAAGGAACGATACCATAGTCTCTGTACATAGACTCAAAATGCAATAACCCCTCGTTAATGTCTCCTAATGAAACACACACAAAGAAGACCGCTTTGAATATCTCCTTGTCGGGTATGTTCCCTTCTGCTTTGAAACTTGTAAACATATCGATTGCCTGTTCACCTTTTCCGTTCTTGGCTAAGCACCTCATCATAACACACCAAGTCTCTGTATCCCTCTCAGGCATTTCGTCGAACACATTCAAAGCGTCATCAGTGGATCCACAACCAGAATACATTTCGATCAGCGTGTTGTAAGATCTAACATCTAAAGGAGTGATGCAGTCATGAACAACCCTAGCTTCTTCCAAAGCCTCTGCTTGACCACATAGTTTAGCTAAACCTAAAAGCCTTGGCAAATCCACTACACATCCCTCATCCTCCAATCTCTCAACAACTTCAATGGCTTCTCTACATCTCCCTTCTTCACACAAAGCGTCAAATGTCTCAATCGTCGGAGACATTTGAGCATTGGAAGAAACTCTTCTGCATTGAAGAAGAAAGCTCCGGTTTTGACAAGTGTGTCGTGTCGAGACGTTTTGAAGAGACGAAGTGACCATCTTTGTGATGTGATTATGAGACTGGGCTCGTGAACTGAAGCAACGGCTTGAAGAACTCTGCGTCCCCCACCAAAACTTGGGTTTTGAGAATTTGAGAACACTGCTGCATATTATTCTCACCATGACTTTTGTTTTGCAGTTCAGAAACAGTGGCTGATCGAAATCCAAAACTCGACGGCGTTGTAAGTAAATACAATTGTAAAAAGCAGCCAACTTCCATGAAAGTAAACCCTAATTGATTAAACCCTAACTAGTATATCAAAATACCAACAAAATTTTCATGAAGGGAATTATTGAAAAAGTATAATTTAATTTATAATTAGTTTATTTTTAAAGAGTAACCGAGCTGTTAAAATTACAATTTTCGAAAATACTAATGGTTATGATATTTTATAGGGGAATTATCTTAAATACAGTAAAATAGGATTATAGCTATTTTAGATTTTCAAAACTCAAAATTACTCCTATGATGAGAGTAATATTATACATAAAAAAAAGTTGTGTGTTCTCATTATAATTAAGTTTAATTCAGTTAGTTGCACCGTTAATTATCTTTTTTCCCTTAATTATCTTTTTCCCCTTAATTATCTTAGGTCCAACTTCACGGATGCATTCCAATGCACCCCTATATATCGACCAATGTGAGTCTACATGCTACTGGATATATAATGTATAGTGGTATATATATAACTCTTTAAAAGTTTAACAATTTTGTTGAGGATTCTCAGTGTATATCAATTACAATTTTCAAAATCCATACAAAATTTTATTTTCTTAGCCCAGGTGCATGAAAAAGGCAACATGTCTTTTAGGTTTTACTGTTTAATTAGCTAAGCATCATACAGCTGTTGGTCGGTTTCGCCTCTCAGAAAACAATAGTTGACCCGTTGTCTGCTCCAAAGTCCATCACATCTGAAGAAGACTCAACTCGGCTTGTAGCTTTCTTGACCTATGGAGTATACATAAACCAAGAAACAGTAATTTCATAATCAATAACAACCAAAATGCTCACTATGAAAGCAGTGTAACGTATCTCTAAGATATTTATATTATCTATAGTTATATAATTTGAAAGAAGAAAAAATAAAAAAGGATTATTATATTCAGCTTCTTACCTCTTCATCCCAATTAGTGAAATAAGTGATGAGGGACAGACATAGACCTTGAAGGACGAGTGCACATATAATTCCAAGCCAAAGCCCCTTTAAATTAAAATTTTGTGTTAATACATGTTTTTACTACGTAATAAGTTGCCTGGAAAAAGTATAGGATGAGTTAAGAGAGAATCTGAGATGTGGGTTGATTAATTTACCCGACCACCGACGTGAAAGTGAAAACCAAGTAACAAACCGAACGGAACTCCGACAAGATAATATGATCCAAGATTCACCAACGCTCCTATCTTCTGCCATCCGCATCCTCTACATACCCCTTTTAAACACAATAAACAACATAACCTGTTTTGCTTAAATCGAGTTACAAAACCAGAATGGTGCTTGTAAGATGATTTGCCTTTACTTGCAAGTAAAGAAAGCTTTGTGTATAGAATTTTTTAAGTGGAAGATGTCACCTGAAAGAACGCTTTGGAAGCTGTCTAGGGCGTGACCTAAGGCAAGAATCGGCAACATAGAGGCTACATATCTGACTACTTCCGGGTCATTACTGTAAGCGAATCCCCAGAACTTCCTTATCAGTATCAAAACCGAACCAACTAGTACACTCTCTACCACGGAAAAGCTCAGGACCACCCGAACCGCAAGTTTTGCCCCTTTGGAATTTCCTGCTCCTAACTCATTTGACACCCTTGTGCTGCGGATTTGGACAATTAATTAGTGGTACTATCTAGGTAACATGATTTGGTTAATAATATACATAAATGGTTTACGAATTACTAGTATTATTACTGACCTTGCGGCACCACTTAGGCCGAACGGGATCATCCAGACTGTTCCTGATGTATTAAGGCTGCAAAATATTTCTTACGTACCAAATTCAATGACAAAGCAATAGTACCTAAGTTTGGTTCTGATTTAAGACAAAGAGAAATCAACCACTTATATATACATATGTATTGTTCATACCAGATAGCAAGAACAGAAGTTTCTAGAACCGGGTTGGGAAGAAGTCCTGACGAGAGAACCAATAGCTCAAAGGACCACATCTCTAAGCTGCTCAAACAACATCACCACAATAAAAAAGAGAAGCAAGATTTATCAAAGCTCAACTAGGTTTATTTTATCACTACAGTGGGACAATGTGGAAGCATATCAATACATTCAGGTAAATTAATATGAATATTATACAAACCTTGCTTGTTTCCAAACTTACCAAACCATAAGTGCGGAAGGAATAGCTAGCTTCATAAAAGGGATGATATCACACCGAGCATCCTTATAGAAACCAGTCCAGGTACGTGAGCAGGAAGGCGAAAACTTGACGTAACACGACAAGAGAATAACATTAAGCCAGTAGGAGATCGCATTCGCCACAGCAGCTCCTCTAAACCCTAGACCAGATTTCAACACCAAGAACCAACAGATGATCACGTGAAGACAAGTTATGACTCCAGAACAGACCACCACAGGAAACACATTGTTCTGCGCCTGCAAAAACCTGTTGAGACATTGAAGGAGACCGTAGGCGAAGATGCTAGGTATCATAAATCTGGCGTAAGAGCCAGATAAGTGTGCAATAGATTTGTCTTGGCCAAAGAAGACGAGGAAATGCTCTGTGTTGGCCCAAATGATGGAAAGAGGAACAGAGAACAGTGTGAGAACAAGCATTGCTCGTTGCATCTGTACACCTAACATCCCGTACATCTTTGCTCCGTAGGACTGGCCACAAACTGTGTCCAACGCACTTGTTGTTCCCATCTGTTCAAATGTGAAAAGTTTTATGAATAGATTTCTTGTATTACAAGTAAGCGGTCAACAATGTCAAGTGATTGTAAATTTGGAGTTTTGGACTGTGTATATATGTCATTTAACGTTCAGCCTTCGATGTAGACATGTAGGGGTAGCCAAAAAAGAACACAACTAATGATTTTTTTTTGCTCTTTATATAAATAAAAAGGACAAAAGACAAACAGCTATGTACAAAACAGGCTTTTCTTGTCTATATTTGGTGTTTTGGATTTTCTCCTTAAAATGACAAAATGTTTTTGTTCTGGTAGCTACTGTGAGTAGTAAGTAGCATAGAAGAATCAAATATGCATACGTAACTTGGAAATTCAAACAAGATGGCCTGATAGCTACATCATAGCTAATCTTGATATATGTTAAAGATATATATTTTATAAGACAGGAGCTTGAAAATAAATAATCCCCTAATCAAGTTTCACATATAGAAATTTCATCCGTAAAATCTATATGTAGTTAAAATCAGTAAATTACTACACTTGTTTAAGCAGATTTACGTATAATATATTAGGGTTCAATTCTAAAATTTTGATTTAGCCGTTTAGACCATAGATAGCGGTACCCTAACTATACATGTATAAATCGTCAGAAAACATTATTTCATAGAAATCTTGTATTTAATGGCTAGAGGTTTCTAAATACTCCATTTGCAACTAGTTATATATATGGATAGATGAAAGTATCTAAATAATTAACTTCGTAGTAAAAGAATAGCTTAGAATTAGAGAGAGAGAGAGAGAGAGAGAGAGAGAGAGAGAGAGAGAGAGAGAGAGAGAGAGAGAGAGAGAGAGAGAGAGAGAGAGAGAGAGAGAGAGAGAGAGAGAGAGAGGCGTAGAGAGAGTACGAGAGAG